GCTTTCCTAAGTGTTGGGAACTCCCAGGTGGGAACCTAGGAGGGGACCCGGGCCCAGGGAGGAGCTGGGACTTTCCCCGGGTCACAGAGCGTTCAGTGGCAGGGCCTGGCCAGGTGAGAGGTCACCCACCTGCCTGGAGGGAGCAGAGGGAAGGAAAAGGGGGAGGAGCAGGCTGGGAGGGTGAGGGTGAGGGCCAGCCCTGACAGCCCCCCTAGGAAGCGGTGATTGTCTTTACCCCCATTGACCCCCAGAATCCTATCCATCCTTGAGTAGGTGCTCAATGCTCCCCCGCGAGGCCCTGCTGACACCTCTCACCCAGGCAGAGGTGGTGGCTGGTTCTGTACTCCCACCTGGACTTGCATGGCTGTCACACTGTCCCCACTATCTCTCCCCCAGCCCCCGGACTGGGCCGTGTACCTCCAGCCATCTTCACTAGCTGTGTGTCCCTTGCCTGTGTCATCCTGTCCCTCTTCTCAGCCTGGGGAGCATCAGCTCCTCTTTCAGGACTCTGCTGAGATGTCCCTTCCTCCAGGAGCCTTCTCCAGCCTCCAGCCTGCCTAGGAGGCCCTTCTCTGGGGACACATAACGCCCTGGGCTCCTCCTGGACGGTGAAACTCTGGAACACAGTTTGTTGGTGGACTTAACAGGCCCACGCGAGTGTGCGCAGACACTGTACATTCTGAGCCTGGGACATGGTGATCCTCAAACTGCAGTAGGTTTCAAAGTCACCGGCGAAGTCTTTGTGAAAATGTAGCCTCCGAGACCCTGATTTAATAGGTGTGAGACAGAACCCCGGAATCTGCATGTAAGGTGCTTCCCAGATGAGGCCGAATCAGGTGCCCGAGCATCCAAAGACCCTTTAGTGTGTCGTTGGCTCTCTCTTCTGAAGCAGTTGGGCAAAATCATTGCAGTGAGGCATGACAATAAAAGCCTCTGATATCTGTGCCAAGTGAGTCACTCATGAGGCACTTTCACACCTGCTTCTCCTTTTATTTATCTATTTTTAAATAATTTTTAAAGTTTATTGAGAGAGGGGTGACCTGGCTCAGTCAGTTAAGCATCCGACTTCGGCTCAGGTCATGATCTCACAGTTTGTGGGTTTGAGCCCCATGTCCGGCTCTGCTGACAGCTCAGAGCCTGGAGGCTGCTTCAGATCCTCTGTCTCTTGCTCTCTCTGACCCTCCCCTGCTCATGCTGTCTCTCTCCCTCTCTCAGAAATAAATAAAACATTAAAAAATTTTTAAAAAAGTTTATTGAGAGAGAGAGAGAGGATGAATGAAGGAGAGGCAGAGAGATGGGCACAGAGGATCCAAAGTGAGCTCTGTGTTGACAGCACAGAGCCTGATGTGGGGCTCGAACTCACGAACCATGAGATCATGACCTGAGCAGAAATCAAGAGTTGGATGCTCAACGCACTGAGCTACCCGCCCCCCCCCCCCACCACTGCTTCTCCTTTTAATCTTCATCTCTTTAACTGCTCTCTGGGGGAGGGATCATCATCCCCAATTCTACAGACACCCCAGGCTCAGAGGCGAAGAGTGACTTGCCCAAGATCCCCCAGGTTACAAACGGCAGAGCTCAGATCGGAGCTGGGACTGTCCTCAGGTGGGGAGTAGGCAGTCGAAGATCAAGCCTGTGGGTTTGGAGGTTGCTCCAAACTTGCTTTTTTTTGTTAAAGACCAGAATTCCAAACTTCAGGATCTACACTTGGTATGATGATTCCAGCCCCACAGAGGAAGCTCAGGCCACTGCCACCGTTCAGGTTCAGGTTCAGGTTTAGGTTCAGACCCTCCTTCTCCCTTCTTCTCTCTGCCCATCCACATCCTCTTTTCCACAGCCCTGCCACTTCATAAAAAGCCACAGCCATTTCTAGGGCATTCCATCCTCAGTCAAATACCATGCCAGGCTCTGTGGGAGATGGAGACACACTCCCCCTCCCTTTACTGCACTTTGTAGATACTGTGTCTCTTACAAATTGAAGGTCTGGGGCAACCCTGCATTGAGCGAGTCTGTTGGTGCCATTTTCCCAACAGCCTTTGCTGACTTCATGTCTCTGTCATGTTCTGGTATTTCTCACAATGTTTCAAAAATTTTGATTATTATATTTTTTGTGGTGATCTGTGATGAGAGATTATGACTCGCTGAAAGCTCAGATAACGGTTAGCATTTTTTTTTTTAGCAATAAAGTATTTTTAAATTATGGTCTATATGCCGCTCTTTCAGATGTTTGCTACTGCACACTTAGTAGACTACGCTACCGCGTGAGCCTAACTTTTACATGCACTAGGAAATCAGAAAGTTCATTTGATCTGCTTTATTGCAAGATTTGCTTTATTGTGGTCTAGAACTGAGCCTGCAATATCTCCCAGTTATGCCGGTTCAGAGGACAAGATCTGACCCCAGGGGCTTTCCGTCTGGCTGGGAAGACAAGTACTTAGTTTGGTGATGGAACAAGTTATATGAACTTTTTTCCCCTTCAAATTCATGGTCCCAGCCTCACTCCCTTAAATGGCTGCTGCATGGGCTGACCCAGGAGACCCCCTCACCGATCAAGTGGTTCGTAATATTGTCACACTACTGGGCATGACAAAGCAATCTGGTTTTCTTTTCCTTGTTTGTCATACCATCGACAGATTCCCAGCATCCTCTGGAAGGTGGGGGTACCGAAGGAAGTCGGTACAGGTAAGGGAAACCAGGGAGAAGCAGTTTACAATTTATCAAGATCTGAGCCCTTAAGCCCAAAGTTTAAAGGAGGAAAAGCCTCCTCAGAAAAAGTACAAGCATGTATAAGTAAATCAATGTGGAACTGGCTCGGGGAAGACATGAAGGCGTTTCGGAAGGCCATACGCAATTGCCCAAGGAATGATCCAAGTAACTGTTTCTTTTCTTTTCTTGTTTTTTTTTTTTTTTAAGTTTATTTATTTACTTTCAAGAGACAGAGCGTGAGCAGGGGAGGGTCAGAGAGAGAGGGAGACACAGAATCCGAAGCAGACTCCAGGCTCTGAGCTGTCAGCACAGAGCCTGACACAGGGCTCGAACCCACGGACCAGGAGATCATGACTTGAGCCGAAGTCAGACACTTGACCAACTGAGCCACCCAGGCGTCCCTCAAGTAACTGTTTCTGGCGCTGAGACACAGGGGTGAGATTTGTGAGCTGGGATTGTCTGGGAAGGCTGCCTGAAAGGGGTGGGTCAGAGCTGGGTCTGGACGATGGGGAAGATAAAGCAGAAAAGAGAGACCCTCTCATGAGAAGAGGAACCGGAGTAGGGGGGGCGGTCAGGAGGCTGGAGCGGCATCTTATGTCATCATGCCTGGTTTTCCTTTCATCTTGACCTTCACAGGTACCTGATAGGAGGATCTTTTTTCCCTAGTCTACGGCTACTGGCAGCTCAGAGTCAGACAGTGACTTGTCTAAGATCACCCAGTCACAGAATGGCAGGATCTGGGCTTTGGCCAGGGACGCTATGGGGTGGAAGAACCACCATCCATGTTAAAGTATCTGGGTTTTGTTAAAGTGTCCGCTGCTTTAAAAATTTTTTTTAAAATATTTATTTATTTTTGAGAGAGAGAGAGAGCCCTTGAGCAAGGGAGGGGCAGAGAGAGAGGCAGACGAGAGGATCTGAAGCTGGCTCTGTGCTGAGAGCAGAGAACCCAATGCGGGGTTCAAATTCACAAGCTGTGAGATCATGACCTGACCCAAAGTCAGACGCTTAACCCTCTGAGCCACCCAGGGGGCCTGGATCCTGCTGCTTTTTTCTTTTAATCTGTAAATGTTTTATGTATTTTTGAGAGAGACAGAGCATGAGTGGTGGAGGGGCAGAGAGTGAGGGAGACACAGAATCCGAAGTAGGCTCCAGACTCTGAGCTGTCAGCACAGAGCCCCACATGGGGCTCGAACTCACCAACATTGAGATCATGACCAAAGTCAGATGTTTGACTGAGTCACCCAGGTGCCCCGTGGGGCTGCTGCTTTTTAAAACTAAAATCGTGGCCTGAACAGGGCTTGGGAGGTCCAGCTCTAGCTCTTCCACCGACCACCTGGTGAGACAAAGGGAAGCTGCTTCTCTGAGCCTCAGTTTCCTCACTTGCACAGTGTGGCTGACAATCCCTGTCCTCCTCTCACACATTCGTGCTGAACTTTGAAATCCTGCAAGTAACCTGAACTGGAGAGCAGTGGGAACATGGGAGAGGTCGTCGCCATTGTGGCATTCTGCACATTTGCTGAGGCTCAGATTATCTTCCTAAGGAGGGGGTGGAGTGGGGATCCCATCGGATGGTGGGATATGTGGATAATTATCCTTCTGTATCTCTCCCTCCTCCGCTGCCCCCGGAAGGAGGCTGCGACCCTCCGTGGGGCCTCAGGGGGCTGCTCCTCAGGATTAAAGGAGACGAGGTGCGGTGCGAGGTGTCTGTCACCAAATACCATAGAAGCATCTTGCCTCAATGGTCTTAGTTTGCATATGGGGAAAGGGGACACATAAAGGCAAAGGAAGGTAATTCGTCCAATCTGTGGTCAATAACTGAGCCACTGAATACATGTGTGGAAGTCTTAAAAGGGCGCTGAATCAGGTGTTAGGAATCTCAGGGTCAAGATCTAGATCCTATACCAATTGTGGGCGGTTCCGGACAAAAATCCCTTCCCATCTCTGGCATGAGTTTCCTGGTCGCAGAACTCGGATTAGGCTCCAAGGCTCCTTCCAGCTCGGGGTCCATCGTTCTAGTAGAGGAAAAACAGCACCCAAGACGGGGTGCTGAAAATGTGAAAGGCTTTGTATCCACCTGAACTTCGCCGGAAGCCTCCGCGCCCAAGGATGCTTCCGTTGCCACGGCAACCGCCCAGCCGGCCTGGTCCGTGGCATCCCGCTGAGGAGGCTGGGAAGAATCCTGCCCTTATCAAGATGGCGGCGGCCACCGGGCAGGGGGCGGGGTTGAGGGCCGTCGGCCTCTCCAGCCCTTCCCTCTGTTTCCGTTTTTTCATGCTCCGGGAGAGCTTCCGTCAATACTTGTTTTTTTTCTGGCTCTCGGAACCCAGGGAGCCAGGGAGGAAGGCTTATCTGCCGGGATTGGGGCAAATATCCGAGGGGTGGAGAAGGCGGGACTTCCGCGTCTCGGCGGAAGTGACGCGATAGTCGCGGCCGCAGACAGGTGGAACGGCAGGTGGGTTCAGGTGCCAGCCTGGCCAGGACCCGGCCGAGGGACTGACGCTTCCGGTGAGCGACAGCGGTAGCTCCCAGGGGCCTGGAGACCCTTGGGGCGGGCTCTGGGGTCCGAGCCCACCGCCCTGGCCTGGAATTCGCCCCTGTACCTAGTAAGAACCCCTTCCCTTCCCGCCCCCAAACCCCGGGGACTCCCCCCACCGTGCAGAGGGAGGGTCTGGCTCTCCCGGATCGCTGGGGTAGAGGTTGACATCTGGGCACCTCGGGTCCCTAAATCCTACGCTCTTTTCTCTCCCTGATCCAGTTCCCCATTCCCCTGCCGAGCTGGGCAGTTAGCCAGCCCACCTCAGCCCTCGGAACGATGTTTTCAGACTTGGATTATGACATCGAAGAGGATAAACTGTGAGTATTTTGTTGCCTTCAAGCCCCAGGAATGCCCGAGCCCCAGGGCCTCCAGATCCCCGGACTTCCCAGGTCCATAGATCCTTGCTTCTCAGCGGGGATTGGGTCTTGTATTGTAGCAGAAATGGACCCTGCCCTTCCAGGAGCTCACCCTCTCTTGGGGGCTGGGGACATATGAGCAGGTAATAATCCAGGGCCACGTGGGCACTAACGGAGAAAGGCCTGACTACAAGGAGAGAGCAGATGGAGCAGTGCTTTTCCTGGGATGTTCATGGAAGACTTTACAAAGAGGTGGCAATTGAGCCAGACTTTGAAGGTGAATAGGAATATCATAAACCTAACTTCCTCCCCACCGCAGATGATTAGAGGAACAGATTTTTAAAAATTGTTAGCCTCCTTACTAAAACATATCCTCCGTCACTCCGGAGGACTGCCTGTGTCCATATTGCTTAGTACGGTGTTTGACGTCAGTAGGTTGTTAGCAAATGTTTGTCAAATGAGTAAGTGAATCAAGGCAAATATTTACCACAAAACATAAATAAGTGCGGACTTCTCATATTGAAAACTGAGAGGTTATTGAGCAGAGCGATCAAGAGATGGGGGATGGATAGTTTAACGGGTGAAGGCTCGCTGGAGAAGGTGCCCATAATGTTCCGTGTGTGCCAGAGCAGGTGACAGGGACAGAGTCTGACTCACGCCTCCAGAGTAAGATGAAGGAGAGGCAAAGGGGACCTGTTTTGGGGACTGCCTGCCTCTGGCTGCATGGAAGTGCCTTCCGTGCACTCTCTTACAAGAACTTTGTTAGGCAGCCATGTTTATCCGTACTGTTTGATGGATGAGGTCACTGAGATGCAGAGAGGTGACTTTCTCACCCACTTCCTGTGGATGACAAATGGCAGAGCTGGGATCTGATCCCGCCTCTGTGTGACTCCCAGAGCTGTGCCTGTGCCACTACAGAGTGTCTTTTGGGCCGCATGAGAAAGAAAAAGAAAGGAAAAGCTGAGCAGCACTCGGCGGCCCCCTAGGGGTTTTGGAGGGCCTCCCCTGGGCCCCCCATCACCCTTCCTCCTGGAGATGCAACCTCGCGTCTTCTCTTTCTAGTGGAATCCCTACCGTGCCTGGGAAGGTGACCCTGCAGAAGGATGCTCAGAACCTGATCGGGATCAGCATAGGAGGAGGGGCCCAGTACTGTCCCTGCCTCTACATCGTCCAGGTACTGGGGGCTTTGGAGGTAGAGTCGAGCCACTTCCCCGCAGGGGCGTGACCCAGGCAGGTTCATTCTCCACTCTGCTGAGCTGAGCTGATGCCTTCCCATCGCTGAGGTCCGACCTCCTCAGGGAGGCCTCCCTGGCCACTCCGTCGCAGCAAGCGAGTCCCATTGTCCTGTCATTGCAGGGTGTTCTTTTCCTTCCCGGCCCTTGTCACCATCTGTAATCACGGAGTTGCTGTCCCCTAGCCAGCCGCTTCCCAGCCTCCGCGCTGCGAGGACAGGAGCCCAGTTTGCTTTGTTACTACGGTCAGCACCCAGCCCCATGCCCGGCACAGCGTCAGCCTTCCATATAATGCCTTTCATGAATCCCCAGAAGTGTCAGCCTCGAGTCCTGGTGCAAGTCGAGTGTAAGGGAGAGTCCACAAGTCCGCGGAGGAGTCACGGTCTGAGTTCAAGTGTCACCTTCCCTGCTTGGTAGCCAGTATCACTTAAGCTCTCTAGTTCTCAGTTTCCTCGCCTGGAAAGTGACGGTGTAAAGCGTGTGGGTCACTGTGAGGGTTAAACAGAATGCCCTGAACAGCGCTTGCCATTTATTTTTTTTTAATGTTTTTTATTTATTTCTGAGAGAGAGAGACAGCGTGAGTGGGGGAGGGTCAGAGAGAGAGGGAGACACAGAATCCGAAGCAGGCTCCAGGCTCTGAGCTGTCAGCACAGAGCCCGATGCGGGGCTTGAACCCACGAACCGTGAGATCGTGACCTGAGCCAAAGTCAGACGCTTAACCGACTGAGCCACCCAGGCGCCCCAGCGCCTGCCATTTAAAAAGCACCCATAAAGCAGTAGCTGTTGCCATTTTTTGTGGTAGGTGTTCACTTTCCCAGACGATCCGCTGCCAGTGCCGAGCAGTTTTGTGGTTTTTCTCGAAGAAGCCACCCTGGTAATATGCTGTCCGCTGTGACTCAGGAGTGGGGACGGGTTTCTTTGCACTGTGGCTGGTCAGGAGTCACTGGTTTTTCCCGCAGCCTTGGAAGGAACCTTGCTGCCTTATGTCCAACCTATGCCTGGACATAAGCTTGACCCAGCCTCTGCTCTGCTCTTCTCAGCGAAGTGGTCAGATGGGACACTGCAGTCCCTCAGGATCTTGCAGAAGAGTTGCTTCTGGGCCTTGGGGACAGAGGTTCCCAGGATCTGGCCTGGCCTGCTCAGGGTGCTGCCTTCACCAGCAGTTGGTGGCCGGCTCTGACCCAGGAGGTGTTGGGGGGGGGCCTCGCCCAGGCCTGGCCCCCCTGCTGTGTGCCCTGTTCGCCCCTGGCCCCTCCCCCTCCTCACCTGGTGGGGGCCAGGTTGGCTTAAGACAAGCTGTGCTTATAGACTCACAGAATTCGGTTTTTAAAAATGGAATTGTATTGGGCACCTGGGTGGCTCAGTCGTTGAGCATCTGACTTGGGCGCAGGTCGTGATCTCATGGTTTGTGAGTTTGAGTCCTACATCGGGTAAACATGGGCCCCCACTTCGGGAAAAAAACCCACAAAAACCACAAGCCCCACTTTGGGTGAGCCCCGCTTCTCTCCCTCTCTCTGCCCCTTGCTCACTTGTGCCCTTTCTCTCTCTTGTCTCTCTCTCACTCTCAAAAAAATTGAATTGTAGTTTTATCAAAGTCTATCTGATTTGTTCTAGACAAGTCAAGAGTACTAGAAGGCTGGTGTCAAATGATACATCATCTGTTCCACCCTTTCCTCCCACCCTCCACACCCCCATCTGCTTTCCCCCACCCCATCCGCCTTCCCCCCCGACCCCAGCAGCACCACCACTTTTACCCCCTTAGAGCTGTTTCTTCAGGTGTGTTTTCACTTTTCTCACTTAGATTCTTATCCTGATATTTCTTGGTCTGTCACTTGTAAATATCTGACAGCTTTCCCCAGTCCGGTGGACGGGAACGGTAGCTCTCTTCCAGAACCGCTGTGCTCTCTCTCCCCGCATCTGCCCGGCGTCGTCATTTTGCAGTTTCCGCGAACCCACTGCCCGCGCAGCAGGCCGGGCTCTATGGTGGGCACCGGGGACGGGAGGAAATCAAAGAGCCCGTCCTCCCAGCTGGTGTAGGGGAATGGGAGGCACTGCTCTGCCTACTGAGCTTAGGGATCCTCCATGGGAATTAAAAAAATATTATTTAAGGGGCGTCTGGGGGGCTCAGTCAGTTAAGTGGCCAACTCTTGATTTTGGCTCAGGTCACGATCTCATGGTTCATGAGTTCAAGCCCCGCACTGGGCTCTGCGCTGACAGTGTGGAGCATCTTTGGGATTCTCTCTCCCCCCGACCGAATAAATAAATAAACCTAAAAAAATTATCGTGGTGAAGTTCACGTACAGTGAGTAGTTTTGAAGTTAAAAAGTAAAAAACAACTACAGTGAGTAGTTTTCAGCGGCATTTGGTGCATTTGCTAAATACAACCACCACCTTTCTCTAATTTCAGAATTTTGGGGGGGCGCCTGGGTGGCTCAGTCAGTCGAGCATCTGACCTCGGCTCAAGTCATGATCTTGGAGTTTGTGAGTTCAAGCCCCGCATTGGCCTCTGTGCTGACAGCTCGGAGCCTGGAGCCTGCTTTGGATTCTGTGTCTCCCTCACTCTCTGACCCTCCCCTGCTCGTGTCCTCTCTCTCTCTCTCTCAAAAATAAAAACATTTAAAACCATTTTTTAAAAGAATTTTTAAATCCCCCCAGAGCAGCCCTTTAAGAACATGCCCTTTAAGTACTCACTTGTCCCCCTTCCCCTCCCCTCTGGCCACCACTCTTCTGGCTCTGCGATTAGTATCTGTGCTGGTTATTTTATTTTATTTAATCCTTTAAAGTTTACTTATTTATTTTGAGAATGAGCAAGCGTTCATGGGGGAGAGGGAGACAGAACCCCAAGCAGGCCCTGTGCGGTCAGTGCAGAGCCTGACGTGGGGCTCAAACTCACAAACCACGAGATCACGATCTGGGCTGAAATCAAGAGTCTGACACTTGACCAGCTTAACCCAGGTGCCCTGTGTGCTGGTGATTTTAGGCTGGTTGATCCTCTGGTTATTACAGAGGTGGTTTTTTTCTGGGTATTTTATATAAAAAAAATCTTAACAGGTCGCCTTTGGTGTCTGGCTTCTTTCAGTTTTTGAATTTCAGTCAAGCTGTGGCATTTTTCACTGATTCGTTCTTTTCCTGGCTAATCTTCCATTTTGTGGCTGTATCACAATTTGTATATCTGTTCAGTGGACGTTTGGGTTGTTGGCACCTTTTGGACGTTACAAATGACACTACCGCAAACGTCCACGCACAGTTTCTGTGCGGACACGCGCTTTCCTTTTTAGGGGTGCGTTCCTGGGAGTGGCAGTGGGGCTGCTGGGCCGCCACCCGGTGCCTCTGTGTTTAACTTTTTGAGGAACCTCTGTCTCTTTTTTTCACTCAATTGTCTTTTTTTTTTTTTTTTAATGTTTATATTATTTTTGAGAGAGACAGAGCGTGCGTCGGGGAGGGGCAGAGAGAGAGGGAGACACAGAGTCGGAAGCAGGCTCCAGGCTCTAAGCCGTCAGCACAGAGCCCGACTCTGGGCTCAAACCCACGAACCATGAGATCATGACCTGGGCCGAAGTCGGACGCTCAACAGACTGAGCCACCCAGGCGCCCCTAACCATCCAACTCTTGATAACAGCTCAGGTTGTGACCTCGCATTTCGAGAGCTTTAGGCCCGCATTGGGCTCTGTGCTGAGTGTGGAGTCTGCTTGGGATTCTCTCTCATCTCTCTGCCCCTCTTCCCAGTTCCCACTCTCTCTCGCTCAAAAAAAAAACAACCAAAAAACATTAAAAAGAAAAAGGAATCATGCTTTTGTTTTCTTTGTGTAAATAGTAGCGCGATCACCGGATCATAAGGTAGCTCTATTTTTAACTTTTTGAGGCACCTCCATACTGTTTTCTAGAGCGGATAATATTATATTATTATTATTATTTATTATTTGGTTTTGGGGTATTGAGTTTTATGAGTTCTTTATATATTTCAGATACTAGCCCTTTATCAAATCTGTCGTTTGCAGATATCTTCTCCCATTCCGTCGGTTGCCTTTGAGTTTCGTTGATTTTTTTCCCTTGCTGCTCAGGACAGGAGGCGTCTTCCTTGGCTTCCTTCCTCGTTGGGATGGAACACATCCTCCTGTAGCCTTCTGAGAAAGGTGGCCGGGGAGGTGACGTTTTTGAGAGCTCGTGTCTATCCCAAAATGCCACTTTCCCGTCTGTGTCGTTCTTTTCGGCTTCTTTCTATCTGACACTTGGGCAGATCAAATTCAAGAAGGACACGGTTGAAAATAACTTTTCACTTAGAAATTCAATGGTATCGTTTTACCATCTTTTAGACGTGAGCGCGGTTGTTATGTCTGAGGCCGTTTTTCATTCGTGATCTCTTCTGTCCTTGATCTACCGAGACTCTTTGGAGCTTCTTTTTGTCCTCGGCATCCTGAAGGGCCATGACGATGGCTCTTGGCACAGGCCTTTGTCCCGGGGGTGCGTTCCTTGGGGCAGCCCCTGTCTCTCTCTGCCCTGGGAGTCCCGAGTACTCGCTCTTTGGCGAGACTCTGCCCTCCGGTTTCTGCTCCCTCTCGTGGGATTTCTGTTGGCTAGTGTTGGGCCTCCTGAATTGACCTTCTGGTATTTTTCTTTCTCTTTTCTTTGATTGTCCAGTTTGTCACTTTCCTCGGCTTGATTTCCGTAGCTTCTTTGGCATCGCACATGTCAATTAGATTTTGCATTGCTAAGAGATCTTTCCTGTTTTCGAATCAATCCTGTCCTTTGTTTTCTGTTTAAGTATTTTTCACGTGCGACACTTCTCTCGAGTGCCTGTCCTTACATTGGAAGTGAACCGTCACAGCCACCTTCCACCATGAAGACCTGTGTGCAGGCCGTGTCGGGCGGGCTTCCCTGTGGGGCGGTCAGGCCGCAGGCACGCTGAGCGGGGGGGTCATGTCTCCCAGTGTCTACGGAGATAGGCAGTTCAGGGCAGGGGCCTCTGGTCTCTCTCCGGGAAGGGCAGTAAGCCTGGCCGCCAGCATTCTGGGGCCCCGGCGGGGCTAGAGGGCTTTGGGACTCACTAAACCCGAATCTGTCTAGATCCGGGCCTCACTCTCACCTTCCTCAGTCCCTGGGCCTGAGTCAGAAGCTTCTCTGGGGAAGCCATCTCCATCTTCCCCAGAGAAGGGGTAGTGTGGGTGGCTGGGTGGGTGGGGAGGGAGCTCAGAGTTGAGTCTGTTCCCTACTTTCTACACCTTGCCTTCTTCCCACCTGTGGCTATTTCCAGGTCCGCTTCCCGACCCTCTGGCAGTTTCCAGTGAACACTAGATCTCTTACTAAAGCCCCTCTGCGGGACCTTGGCTTCCCGCTGTCCATCTTCCAAGGGCACATAGAGCCTCTCGTTATTGTGGTCTCCTTTATCATTTTTTAAAACATAATTTCTGTGTTTTTAGTGTGATTTTTGTTTTGTTTTAAATGTTTATTGCTTTTTGAGAGCGAGAGAGAGACACACACACACAGAATCTGAAGCAGGCTCCAGACTCTGAGCTGTCAGCACAGAGCCCGACGCGGGGCTCGAACTCACAAACTGTCAGATCACAACCTGAGCCCAAGTTGGATGCTCAACTGACTGAGCCCCCCCGGGCGCCCCTTAGTATGATTCTGAAAGGTCGTGGGAAGAGACATTCAGCGCCGTTATTTCCTCTTCTCCTTATAACGTTGTGCATACGAGGCGTCGTCCAGCGTCCTTTCTGCAGGCTTCGTGGAGAAAGCGGAGGACCTAAGATACGGCAGAGGGAAGTCACTCTGGGGCTTGAGCTGCTGACAGTTCTGGTGTCTGTCCTTGTGGCCATTTTCTGGCTATGATTTTTGTATTCCTGTCCATCCCTGTATACGTGTGCGTGGCCCCAACCTGCCCCTTGCCCTGAGTGTCGCTCGCACATGTGTGCTCTGACAGGCATGTCTCCCCTCCCCCACCATTCCCGGCGAGCACAGGTCCCGTTGAAGGAGTCCCTGTGGGAAGAGGGGCTCACATGTAAGCTGGAGTCTGCTCTTCGGGGACTGTGAGGAGGTGCAGGGAGTGACCCGAGGTGCTCTGGGGTTTCTGGTCCACTCGGAGCAGACTTGCGGGAGAAGCGTGTTAGAGAGAGGACTTTGGGAGAGCACGTGCTCCCTGGGCATATGAAGCCTGGAGCGAACCAGGCCTTGCGTGGGCTGCAGGGAACCACTGTCTCCCCCCAGGTGTTTTCTCCCTGCTTTCTCTTCACCACACCCGCTCCTTGCACCCACAGGTGTTTGACAACACCCCGGCGGCCCTGGACGGCACGGTGGCAGCTGGCGACGAGATTACCGGTGTCAACGGCAGGTCAATCAAAGGCAAAACTAAGGTGGAGGTGGCGAAGATGATTCAGGAGGTGAAGGTGAGGCTGCTGCACGGTGGGGGCGGGGGCGGGGGTGGAGGGAGATACGGGCCGCCAGGCCGCTTCCGAGACGCCCAGCAGGCCTGCGAGGAGATGGGCCCTATCTTGGCCACCTCCATGGTGCACCGGGGTCTGGGCCACGCTCCAGCCTCCCCAGTGCCTCCCACAAGTGGTCAGCAAACCCCCCCTGTTCTAGAACTGGTGCTGCCTCAGCCACCTTTCCGTCCTCTGACCCAGTGGGTCCCCATTCAGGGCCGGAGTTGGAGCTACAAGTCCAAGGTGAACCTGCCGGGGTCAGTAGACCCTTGACGAATGTCAGTTGGGCCATGCTGGGCCTGGGCGGGGAAGGAGGGAAAGAGGAGCGGCCCCCCATCATTCCTGTAGGGACTTTCAGTCCCCCGGGTCCTCCTGGACTCACAGACCCCCGTCCCCTGCACAGGGAGACTTCCGGGCCCCAGGGCAGCTCCCAGTCCGGCTGCTGGGCTTCTGTTCCACAGGCCACAGTCACACACCGCCTGCCCCCTGCTCCCCACGCCCCACCCCAGCTGCTAAGGGCGAGGCCTCACCCCACAAGGCCCCTCCCTGCAATGGTGGGAAGCATCCCGACCCCTCAGGGAAGCAAGCGTGCAGCCCTTTCAGCGTTTCTTAGAGGGTTTGCTGCCAGTGACTCTTGGAAAACCCAAACAGCAAAGGGCCTGTAGAGCCCCCGGATGCTTCCAAAATCTTAGGGTCAAGGGTCCCAGCTGTACACTGAGCGTGGCTGAGTGTCCGAGCCCCCCGACCCCATCCGTCCAAACCTCGCCCTCTCTGTCCTCTGTGTCGCAGGCACCCACGCCCCTGCCAGTCCCTCTTGCCTGAGCCCCGGGCCGGCCGCTTCACCACCTTCTCCCCGTTACTGTGCCGTGCGCCCCGCCCGGGCTGCCGTTTCTGCCCTGGGCTGGCCTGCTGGGCAGAGGGGCTCCTCGGGGGAGCAGGCGATGGCGTTGCCCCCTGGTGCACACTGTGGGGGGGGGTATGCCCCGTGTGGCCCCTTCCTCACGCCTCATCACAGCCTGTCCTCTGTGGCCCGTCGCATGCCAGCCCCTCCCACGGTGCCCAGGGGGACAAGAGCCTTGACATCAACGCAGGATCTCCCAACTCCCGTGTTTGGGTGCGGGCAGGGACTATGGTCCCGTGTCACTGGTGCCCAGAGAGAGGGGGGATTTGCTTTGGTCACACAGCGGGACCCGGGCCCAGGCCTGACGCCCACTGCGCCTCGTCCTGTCGGTCCTGGCCCCCCCCTCCCCAGCGTGTTCTGCAGCCCGAGAGAGCTTTATGCTTCTGCCCCCGCCTCTGACGGCCTCAGGCCATCTTGGTTTCCCTTCAGGACTCATTACTGAAATCCCGTTTTGTGTTTGAGTGGGTTCTGTCCCAAGTTCAGGGGCCTTAGGATCACCTGGGTGAGAGTGACCATGTGGCCTCACGTGGATAGGGAAGGCGTCCCAGGAGAAGCCGGCACTGCTCTTCCAGATGTAGAATGCGATTTGCATCAGCCCCCCTGAGGGCTCGGGCCCATGGAGGCTGGGGCCGCCCTGCACCTCCTTTCTGGCGTCCCAGCACCGGTCACAAAGTGCGCAGACGTATTAGCTGCGTGAATGGAGGAACTCCTGGGGACGAGGGGGGGTTTCGAGCGCAGAAGATACTCGATGTGGGGCAAATGGCTCCAAGCATGGCATGCGTGGGGGAGGCCGGGGCACCTGATCTCGCTGGAGCGCAGGACATCGGGGACGGCCTGGCTGTGAGCTCTGTGGCAGCCGGGACCGTGGCTGCCCTCATCCCTGCCGGTTCCCCAGGCACATAGCAAGACAGGGAGGGACCTGGGAACAAACCAGTTAAGGCAGGGCCGTGTCACAGCCCTTGGCCCGGCATGGCACGTCTCACAGCTGGTCCGGGTCCTGCCCAGGGCCCAGGGTTCTCTCGTGAGCACAGGTTTCGGGGCAAACAGGCTTCCCCAGGGAAGGGGCCTGGGACCCAGGAGCCTCCATCTCAACTCTGCCTCTCCTGCTTTTCCAGGGGGAGGTGACCATTCACTACAACAAGCTGCAGGCGGACCCCAAGCAGGGGATGTCCCTGGACATTGGTGAGCTGGACGGGAGCGGGGGCCCCACAAGCCCTGGGCCCGTGCTCTGCCTCTTTAGGACAGCGTTTCAGGAGTTATGTGGCTTTTGACCAACCCGATGCAGAGAGGGCCCGGGAGGACCCACGGTGCTCTCCTGCTGTAGCTCCCAGGAATCTGTCCCTGAGTTCGCTCTCCCCCATGCGTCAGCCCTCTCCCCGCCGCCACCTCCTTTGGGACCTTACTGCCCTAGGGTGGCCCTTAGATGCCAGCCTCTCACCGTTCCAAAAGGGAGGGCAGCTTCCAGTGAGGGTGCCCACCCGCACCCTGCTCGGCCTGGCCTCCTCTTCCGCCTGCCTGCTCCCAGGAGGGCCTGAGGTCTGAACTGGACCTCTGGACTCGGGCAGAGGGTCCCGGGCCAGCCCTTCCTCCCCTGGCATTCCCCAGGACAGGTTGCCTTCTGCTGGGGGTTGGGGGCAGGGGGCTGGGTTTGGTTCTATAGTAGCTTCAGGACTCTAGAGCTGGACAGCAGCTTCGAAGTCCTCTGGACCAGCCCCTTCCTTCCGCATCGAAGCCTGAGGCAGAGAGGGCTCCGTGGCCCCTGGGTGAATGCACATGCAGGTCTCTTGGCTCTGGGGCCGCAGCCACCTCCTGGGTTTTAAGGAGGCCAAGGGCAGGTCAAGTCTGTCCTGGAGGCTCTCCCAGGGACTAAGTGTGTGAACACATATACAGCGATTGAGTCTGGGGTCCGAGGTCACTCGTGGTTGATGGCGCCTCCACTGCCAAATGTGGAAGCAGGAAGAGGCGCTCCCTGGTTTGCCTCTTGGCACTTTACATATTTACCTCCTTCCAGCCCCCGACCCTGCCCTCCTGTAGAGTGAGCAGGGCGGGGGGCCTGGCACGCCCTCCTGGGGCTCTCCCCACTCCAAGGTCACCCCCGCACGAAGCCTCAGTTCCAGCCCCTCAGCCCCTGCTGTCGCTTGCGGGGAGAGATGGGCTGGGGCAGGGATGGCCTGAGGGCCCCGCTGCAGATTGCCTGTCCCTGAGTCCCTTTCTCGCCTGGTCCCAGTGTTGAAGAAAGTAAAGCACCGGCTGGTAGAGAACATGAGTTCGGGGACTGCGGACGCCCTGGGCCTGAGCCGCGCCATCCTGTGCAACGGTGAGTCCTGTCCTCCCGCCCCGCTGCCCCGGGGACGGGGTCACGGGCACAGCCTTCCAGAGACAGGCTGTCCACGTTGCTGACATGGGTCCCGCTGCCTGTGGGGCTGATGGTCACCGTCCGCATCCCCAGGGGCCTCTCTGCCTCCCAGTCCCCCGAGGCACCTGCAGCCACGGCCCCCGCGCCCTGGTGGTGCCCCCCGTACGCAGTGCCAGGTGCTTCCTTCCAGCAGCCCCAGCTGGTGCCTTCGCCCCCGCCCCCGGCTGCTGTCACCACGCTGGCCGTGGCCACTCTGTGCCCTCTTCTCCAGTGTGGCCCCAGCGCCCTGCTCCCCTACCGCCTGCCTCTCCCCTGCCTTTCTCCAGGAGGTGGCGCTGCTGCCCTTGGCTCGGTTTCTGCCGTGACTGGAGGGGGAGGGTGCGGGGACGGGGGGAGCCATGGACACGCATGTTCGCGCCTGCGCATGTGTGTGGCCAGTAAAACACTCGGTCCTGCTCCCACCGTCCCAGCCCGCGGTTATAAATAGTGGCTCTGCGGTATATGCGTGTGGGGTGGATATAGGCGCCCGCGTCTGTGGTAGGCTCCGCTGGCCACACGGCTCCTTGGCTGGGACGCGGGGGCGGGGTCTGAGCCCGTTCCAAATGGTGCACAAAAGTGGCGGCTGCTATTTTCAGCCTCTTGGCGCCTATAAATCCCTGTTACTGTAGTTACCATGCGTTGGGATGAAATTAGAACTGGTTGTTGTGTTTTTCCCCCCAAACCTTGCAATTTCCCGAGCCTTAAATAGGGTTTCTAAAATTGAAGCCGTCATCATGTCCCATGACCCAGCTAAAAACAACAGCACGGCCCTTATGTGGCTCCTTTCCTGCCAGGCTGGCCAGGTGCCAGGGCTCTGGGGGCCAACCAGTAGCCAGGTCCCTGAAGGTCTCCCAGATGCCCCCTTCCACCCCCCACCCCCCCACCAGGAGCCCACCCTCCTCCCTGCCCCCTCTCCCCCCCCACCCCCAGCCACCATCCCTGCCCAGACTTCTGTCTGCTCCCTCCTCTCCTCCCACTCAGAAAACCCCAGCCCAGGTCAACACAGGAGACTGGGGGGAGGGGGAGGGCAGAAAGCACCCCGGCTTGAGTCGTGCCTGGCTGTGTGCCTTAGGGCAAGTTGCTTTACCGCCTTGCCCCTCATCTCACACAGAAAATGAGGGAAGTTGTACCTGCCCCAAAGGGTCAGACGAAGGAAGGACTGAGTTGGACGCAGGGAGCCTTGAGTGCTGGGTTTCTGGAGCACAACACCATAGCTCAGAGAGCGCGGGCCCTGCCCAGAGGGTGCTGCTATGGAAGGTGGGAGGAGCCTCATTCCCTCACCTGTAACCGCTTGCCACGCGCCCTCCCTCCCTCATCTGAAATGCTTGCCCATCCCTGGCTATCTGATTGAGCCCCTTTTGAGGCCTTGAGGTGAAGCAGCTGCCCCCACCTCTCGCTCGACGGCCCTCAAGCTTACTCTGGTCATTTGTGGCCTGCCCTCCCCACTCTCCTCTGCTGGACTGTGAGCCTTGAGGGCACGACTCGGAGCTCATTCACCAAGGTCATTCTGTGGGCCTGACCAGCACACAAGAGGTGCCTGAGAAACAGCTGTTAGGCGGCTGAAGATGGTGGCCCAGTCCCTGTCCCATGCGAGGTCTTCCTCTGAGCCCCTCCTGAATCTGCCTTCTCTCCCCAGACGGTTCTCCCTTCTGAGCTGTCGTAGTGGCTTCTGCAGGAGGGGCTGTGCCGGGCCTGCCCGAGACGTGTCAAAACAGCCCCTCTCTGGCTCCCCTTGACTGCCTTCCTCCGTGGCTGTGGGCTGGGTTTATGGTACAAGAACGGGAGCCTTGACTGCTAGGAAAGGGCCTGCCTTTGGCTGGCGGTGGGCAGCCACCACGGGTCGGGCCCTGGGACCAGGGTTTCGCCGGTGCTAGTGCCTCGGTTATCATCGCCTTTCTGCCCCTCTGATGTGCCCGTCCTGTGGGGGGCGGGGGGAGAGCTCGTCTCAGGAGCTGCCTGGGGGGGGCCCTGCCCGTCCCCTGCTTGCCCGTGGTATGGGGATCCCGGGCGCTGTAGAGCATGACCCTCCTCCCTGGGAGCCCGTCCCTGGGAAGTGCCATCCTTCTCTTCTGGAGGCTGCCCCTCTCCTCTCAAGCCTGGCTCAGGCTCACCCCGTGCTCGCCGAGACCCACTGGCCTCACCTTCTCCCCTGACCCCCCACAGACGGGCTTGTCAAGAGGCTGGAGGAGCTGGAGCGGACTGCCGAGCTGTATAAAGGTGAGCTGGCGCACACCAGCCACGTGTGGGTGGAGGGTGTGCCCGGCCGGGCGGTAAGTGCCTGGCACCGGCCCCGCCCTGGCGTAGAGCCTTGGAGCCCTGCTCTGAAGTGGTGGCGATGGGGGCGGGAGTGCCGCCCCATAAAATTCTAGGACTGAGGCCGTTAGGAATTCTTAAGAAAAAAAGCCTCTTATCACATACTTTTTCTGATTACGAAAGTAACACACATCCACCGAAATTCAAATAACAGCACACGTAAATGAGAGTCTCTCGGAGCCCCGCTGTCTCCCAGAGATAAAGTCCATAGAAGGCCCTGTTCACCTGCGAAGTCCCGCCTCCGCCGTCTGACGGGGCCGCCTTTTGGGTGGTGCTGGGGCTAAGCCTTCAACTCTGGGCCCTGGTGCACCTGCGGGAAGAGCAAGTGAACCCAGGAACAGTGAGGGCCTCAGGGTGGGGGGTTGGAGGCCAGGGCCCGGGGGGGCCATTGCGGTGTCATCACGTGCCACCGTTCCCCCCTGGCTGGGTCTCTCCCATAGGAATGACAGAACACACCAAGAACCTCCTACGGGCCTTTTATGAGCTGTCGCAGACCCACCGGGGTAAGGGCACCCCCAAACCTGCCAGGTGACCCTGGGAAGACCCTCCCTCCCCTCTTCAGCTCGGTGCTTCCCCATACAGTGAGGAGGCGGCCAATCCCCTCCCTGGGACCTTTCTCATGCCCACCCCCGGGCAGGCGCCACAGCACCTCCCCTCAGGCCCCGTTCCAGCTGGGCCTTGTCTAGATGCCGGGATGTAGCAGTAATGGGTGCCAGCAGGGAACATGGGGGCCAGCCAGTCTTCCGCGGGGTCCAGTCTTACCTGTACCTCCCCACCCCCTTTACAGTGTACCGGGATGCCTTTCTTATTTGTGATCTCATTTCCTACAAGTCTGTTGGCTGCCCAGGGCAGCTACTGGTGATCCCATTTTATAGTTGGGAGAATGAAGCCTAGACGGAGGAAACGGTCACACGGCTCCTTAGGGTGGAGCTGGCCTTAGGGCCCGGGCATCCAGATTCCCAGAGGATTCTCTACTGTCAGGCCACACTGGCTTCTCCACCCTTGACCGAGGCTTCTTACCCCACGGGCTAGTCACTCTGGGGAATGAGGGCCACTCCCTCGGGTATAGACCCAGCTCCCTTGGGGGTACAGACCCAACTCTCTTCGGGCGTAGAACCCACCTACCTTGGGACGTAGACTTCATGCAGATCCTGGCCTTCAGCCCGGCGTGCCCCCGCCCTGCTTTTCCCCGACAAACCCCTGGCTTCTCCGCGAAGGGGTCAAGTAGGGGCAGCCTTCAGGGCAAACTTGTCCTGCAGCCTTTGGGGACGTGTTCTCTGTGATTGGGGTGCGGGAGCCCCAGCCAGCTGCGAGCGAGGCTTTTGTGAAGTTCGCTGACGCCCACCGCAGCATTGAGAAGTTCGGCATCCGGCTGCTGAAAACCATCAAGCCGGTAGGTCACGCCACGCGTGTGTGTGTCAGCATGTGAGGGTAGAGAGGGGACAGTGCGACACGCAGGAAGGGTCCTGTACTGGAGCTGGAGCGCCTGGGTGCGGGTCTGGCTTGGTCACCGACACGGCTGACCATGGGTGAGCCGCCCCCCACCCCCCGGCATCACTCGGTGCTGACTGACTCACTCGTTACAGTTTGCCCTTGGCCTGGCCTGTCTTCTCACCCTTCAGTGGACAGAGCCGTCTGGGCGCGCCCTTTGGCTCTGACACCTGAGTCCACTAGAAGGATTGATGGATCGGTGCCATTCGTCATCACCCTGGCCAGCCTGCCCCCTGCCTCTGGAGGGACTAAGCCTCCACCCATCTGCCCCTTCCAGATGCTGACGGACCTGAACACGTATCTCAACAAAGCCATCCCAGACACTCGCCTCACCATCAAGAAGTACCTGGACGTGAAGTTTGAGTACCTGGTGAGGGTCCCCAGCCTCTGGGGAGGGAATGGTCCTGCCTGCTGGGGGAGAGCCCACCCAGAGGTTGGCCAGCGGGCTGGGGCCAAACCCCCTGTCGTATCTGATTGAGGACATGGCACCAGGGACCTGGGAGGCACTGTATTGGGCAGCAGCCCGGACACTGGCCCCAGCTGCTCAGAGGAGACTTGGGAGGCTGGGAGCCTGGGGGAGGCAGAGCGCTCAACTCTGGACCACTCTGACCTCTTGGGAATTCAGGGTCAAGTGTAACAGTAGGCCAGTGGTTCTAAAGTAGGTGCCAAGAGACATTACTGAGTTTTATGTTTACACAATAATTCTTATGGTCAAAGGAGTTGAGGGAAAATGCTCCACGAAGCAAGCCAAGGTTCCTTTGCGGCAGGACTTCTCAGAGCCTTTTGCTGCAGGACTTCTTAGAGCCTTTGACAGGCAGCACTCATGTGTAGCACGTCTTCAAGGACCTTCCCATGCTCTTTTGACCATGGAGTCCCCTTTTTTCCCCCAGATCATCTTGAGTTTGGTAAACGCTGGGCTGTTTCTCAGGCTCTTGCCAGCCTCCCAGATGTGTACCCTCTCCCGCGTGCTGCCATGCTGCCCGCGGCCTCCCCGAGCAGGGGCCGGTCAGAGTGAGGTGCCAGCCTCCCCCTGACACGTCTCAGCCTATCCTAGTCGAGGGTGTGCAGGGCCCAGGAGGCCCTGCGCAGCTGCTCCTCGGCGGGGAGTAGGGGTGCTGTGGCTTGGGAGGAAGCGGGCCGCAGAGTGGGCATCCAGAACGCGCAGCCACCCTGACGTCGGGGCCCTGCCTGTCCCACACAGTCCTACTGCCTGAAGGTGAAGGAGATGGACGACGAGGAGTACAGCTGCATTGTGAGTCCTCAGCGGCTGTCAGGCTGGCCCTGGGGTGGGAAAGCGGGCCGTACGCACCCCTGCTTGTCTCCTGGCCCTGAGAATGTCCTGGGTCTGCCGGGGGCGGGGCGCCCAGGCGGGTCAGGCCTGTCTGGGAGAGGCTTGGGGGCCTGGCCGGGCTCCTGTCCCCGGAGCTGTGGGGCCGTGTGCCCCAACCCCGGGCCCTCGGGGGGAGCACCAACCAGCTTGTGCTAGGACCCTCCCCGACTGTCCGCTGCCCCCCGGCCCTGCGAGCCTCTTGCAGGGAAAAACTGACTTTCCTCACTCCTAAGACGCATTTTTAATCTTAACATTTTCATACTTTTTTTTTAAATCTTTTTTCTTTTTAAATGTTTTTTATTTATTTCTGAGAGAGAGAGACACCTGAGCAGGGGAGGGTCAGAGAGAGGGAGACACAGAATCTGAAGGGGGTCCAGGCTCTGAGCTGTCAGCGCAGAGCCCGACGCGGGGCTCCAACCCACGAACCGTGAGATCATGACCTGAGCTGAAGCCGGAGGCTTAACTGACTGAGCCACCCAGGCGGCCTAACACTTTCATACTTTTGACGTCCGGATCCACCTCAGGACTAAATGTTCATTACTTGATGGGGCGAGGGTTAGGTTTTTGTTTTCTTGTTTCACAAAGCTATTAACAGGGGCTTCTAGCTGTCACTGGTGTCCTCAGAAGTGGTAGCTTTGAAAAGGGCCGTGCGGTTCAGGGGAGTTAGCTGGTAGGTGGGGTGGGCTCTGCAGCCTTCCTGCCCCCATCTGTCCCAGAGCAGGCGCCCCGCCCCCCCGCCCCCGCCCCCCTGCCAGGGCCCTGATGTGCGCCTCCCTGCTCCAGGCCCTGGGGGAGCCCCTGTACCGCGTGAGCACCGGCAACTACGAGTACCGCCTAATCCTGCGCTGTCGCCAGGAGGCCCGTGCCCGCTTCTCCCAGATGCGCAAAGATGTGCTGGAGAAGATGGAGCTGCTGGACCAGAAGCATGGTGAGGGGCGTGGGTGGGCGCCGGGAGGTTCAGGGGCATGCCCAGCCCCGGCCCTTTACCATTCTCAGGATTGGGGGTGGGGGTGGCTACCATCTTCTCCCCATTTCAGAGCTGGGAAAACCGTGGCCTGGACAGGGAGGTCCCACGGCAGAGCTTTTGAGTCTGGCCCAAGAGGGACGGCCCTGCCAGAAATGCAGCCGGCTTCCCGGGGTCTGGCCTGAGGGGGGCTGGGCCGTGCCCTGTGGGCGCGGTGGGGTGCCGGCCGGGCTCCTCCTTTCCCTGACCCGGGAGCCGGGAGACTTGGGTTCTTCGTGGGGCCGGGCAGCCCTGGCCTTGGCCGCTCCCAGGGCAGGAGGACTCCGAAGGGTGTGGGACGGGAAGCCCCCAGGGGGCGGGGCAGGGCGGGGCCCGGCAGGGCGGGAAGCCCCAGGGGGTGGGACGGGGCGGGACGGGAAGCCCCCAGGGGGCGGGGCAGGGTGGAGCCGGGCGGGGCGGGCTCAGAGGGTCTTCTCCACCGGCGCCTGTCTGCCTGTCCTCCGCCCCAGTCCAGGACATCGTGTTCCAGCTGCAGCGCTTCGTGTCCACCATGTCCAAGTACTACAACGACTGCTACGCGGTGCTGCGCGACGCCGACGTCTTCCCCATCGAGGTGGACCTGGCCCACACCACGCTGGCCTACGGCCTCAGCCAGGAAGAGTTCACGGACGGCGAGGACGAGGAGGACGAGGAGGACGAGGACACGGCGGCCGGGGAGCCGTCCAGGGATGCGCGAGGGGCCGCTGGGCCCCTGGACAAGGGTGGGAGCTGGTGTGACTCCTGAGCGCCCCCGCGGGCCGCGGACCTGGGGGGTAGGGTGAGGGGAGGACAGTGCGTGGGAGCGGGGGCGGGGCCGCCGCACAGCAGGCGCCGCATAAAGGCCTGCGGGCTTGGGGCGCCTGCCTCCCTGCTCCTCTGTCCTCGCACAGCGAGCCCGGGCTCCTGCCTGGGAAAGCCCCCGGGCCCGTGGCCTGGAGCCTGGACACCGGCCTCCCCCCTTCCCTCCCCCAGCCAGATGGGGAGCTCAGCCTCTGGAACTGCCTTAGGAAGGAGAGAGGGGGCAGAAAGGAGGAGTGGTCGGCGGGGGCAGGAAGTCCGAGACCCGGTCCCCCTGGGCAGCTCCACCAGCCCCACCTGAGCCTGCCGGAGTTGGTGGCCGGGGACGGACAGCCGAAGACGGGCCAGCGTCTCCCGGACACCCGCCCCTCGCCCCGGCGGCCCCGCCGCAGCCCACGCTGACACCTCTGCGGCCTTTATTTATTTCATTTCCCCCCACTGGGCTCAGCCGCTTCCCCGGGGAGGGGCCGGGCACTGGGCCTGTACGGAATAAACACAAAGCCGGATGGAGCCGGGCTCTTTGCAGTGGCCTCAGACCCTCCTCCCCTCGACGCCCCCCTGCTGCCTCCCCGTCCCCAGGGAGTGGGGGGGCCACAAGGTTTATTGACGCTCCGTTTGTATATGTCACTCACTCCCCGCATTAGCTCTGTGAACCGGCACTGCTGCCTCCGCTGACAGACGGGAAACGGAGGCTACAGAAGTCTCTTGCTCAGGGCCACCCAGTGTTACAGGGACGGGGTGGGCTTTGGACTTAGATCTGGCGCGTCCCAGAGGCTCCAAGGCTTGCTGCCTTGGGGGGCCTTTTATGTCTTCCCCCGTCTTTGATCCACCGGTGCTTCTGGCTGGTAGCTCGGCCTTTATTTGGGGAAGGACAGGACAGACGCTGAGTCGGGAGGCCCCAAGGCCCCACATCCGGCGGGAGAATGTGAGGATGCCCCCACCCTCCGGGCGCAGCTGTTCTGCCAGGGCCAAAGGGCAGTGGAGAATGCCACCCTCGTGCTCCGTGTGGTTGCAGAGTGGTGGGAATAGGGTGGCCGCGTGTGCTGTGAGCCGCGCAGTCGCAGTCTATACCTGTGGTCCCGTGTAATTAATAGTGGCCCTTTACACTCTGAAGGTGTCCCTGTTTGAACACTGAATGACATGGTTGTCCTGAGAAGGGAAAAGGCTGTGAGGGGTGGGCAGAGTCTAATGGGAGGGTGGGGAGAACTGCCTTCTGCTAATTAGCTTGGAGTCCGCCGGGCATGGGCGGCAGCCCGAATGGGACTGTCAGGCAGGACTGGGAGCTGGGAGGGAGGAACGGGCTGTCACTGGGAGTCCACCTGGGTCCCCCAGAGCCGCCAGACCAGACCGCCTCCCTGGAGGAACAGCCAGCCTGGAGGTCAAGGGTACAGACTGCAGCCAGCCGCCTGGATTCCAGTCACAGCCTCTCCAACCCTGAGCTACTCCCTAACCGCTCTGTGCCTCAGTTTCCCTATCTGTGATTGTGGCCAACAGTGGTCCCTGCCTTACTGGGCTATTACGAGCATCTGAGGAGTTAACATTTGTAAAGGATTTAGTGCCTGGCATGGTCAAGTGTTAAATAAAATGTCGTCACTGCTCTGGGGACTCGGGAGAACCTTGGACCTGTGTGAGCTGGCCAGGCACCCGGAGGGCTTCCCACACCTTTGTGGGGCCTGGGTGGAAAATAAGACCGACATGGAGGTGTGGGGCGGGGGGAGTCAATGGTGGGATGGGCTCTCCGGAGCCTATGGCTGAATAGTTGGGTTCTGTGGTGGGAAGACTCCTTCCCACTCTTGGGCCTGGATCTCCACACCCATGATCGGGAGGGAGAGAAGCAAGGACAAGTGTCAGATTTGCAGGAGGAGAATAAGTACACAGGGGGACTGGGTCCCCGAGGCTTCCTGGCCAGAAAGAGACACGGAGCTCCCTGCGCTTGGATCAAAGTGCAAGATGTCAAAAGTCAAAGTGCAAGCGAGGCCGTAGTGCCCCTAAGTCCGAGAACACCTCCCCCTCCACACCCCACCCTTCTCCCTCTGTGCCACTTCCCCAACAGCTTCCGTGCCAGAGGGCCCTGGGCAGGGCCTCTCGGGTCCTTCAATCCCCCTCCCCCGCCCCTCCCACCCCGAAGGAGCAGCCAGAGCTGCCAAAAGGCACAGGAACAGAACTGTCTTGCCTCTGAGCTTTATGAGTTTGAGTTTCACACAGGTCCGGCGCCTGGGGGTGCATAGCGGCTCCCCCACACGAGGGCACGGCCTGGCCGTGGCCTGCTGGGCAGACGACGGAGGGAGCCCCCCCCCACCCCACCCCAGGACCCCCGGGGCGACCACTGCAAAGCAGCCTCCAGTGCTCCAGGCCCTGCCTGGGACAGCCAGGGCTCTGGGAGAGTAAGCGCCGTTCCCAAAGTCGCCAGCCACCTCGCCTAGGGCCTCTGAGCTATCCAGTCTCAGGGGCCGTGCCCGGCTCTGCCTCCACCTTCGGTTCCACCGGCCCGGCCCCCCCGGGGCTTGGCACCTCCAGGGCCTGGAGGCTGCCGGGCTCCTCAGCCTGCGGGGCCTCAGCGTCCTCCTCGGCCTCAGCGTCCTCGGCGTCGCTGGCCCCGCCCTGGGCACCCTGGCTGGGCGGGGTGTCCTTAGAGCGGCGCAGGCAACATTTGGTGGCCACAGCCATAAAGATGCCAGCCAGGGCCACCTCAGAGCCGGCCAGGTAGAAGATGATTTCGTAGTTCTTCAGGGCGTCCACCAGGCGGCCTGGGGGGGCGGGCAGGGAGGGGGAGGTAAGGGTCTGAGGGGAGCCCCACCCTTTACCCTTCCCCACAACCTCAACTAAAGGATGGTGCCCTCCCTCGCTTGGGTGGGTTAACACCTGAGTGACCCAGACACCCGCCCTAGTCTTTATTCCCATTCTACAGATGCCGGCCACCACCCAGGCTCTGCCATTTGAGACCTTAAAAATGTCACCACCTCCTTGGACCTCAATTTCTTAAGTCTTTGTATTAGCTCCTCTGTAATTTCCACGTTTTCTATCAGGCACACAGTACTTTCAGACTCAGGAACATCTTTTCATTGCAAAATTTTTTTCCCCCCAGAGAGTGGTTTCGCTGCGGGCTCCATTCTCTCTCGGCATGTTTGTGGCTGACCACCCCAGGCTGAGACCCCTCGGTCGACAGCTCCGTGGCCTCGGGAAGGCTTCCTGGTGTCCCCCCAAGCCGGCTGCCCCCCTGAGCCCCTCCTCCCGGGCACCATTCCCAAACTTGCCTTCCTGCGCTGCCCAGCCAGCTGCCAGTTCTGCTCTGCCCCTCCTGTGCTCAGCGCAGCGGTGCCCTTCACCTTACCCTCTATTAGATCCACCCCCCAGGTCACATGAGAAAAAGGAAGATGAATCCCTGAGCATCTGCGGGGGGAGGGAGGGGACGGGCGGGAGGGTTGTGGCTTTTGGTGGTGGGATTGGAGGCCACCCTTACACGGAGCTTAGATGACAGAGGTTGATGGGGGCACTCGGCCAGCCCAGCCCTGGGAGGAGGGGCAGCTCACTATCTCAGGGGCAGCCCAGGCCCCACAGAGGAGGCTCCCCTCGTTCCTCTGTCCCACAGCCTGACCTCAGGCAGGCTCCCTGCTGGTTCAGGGACAACCTGACCACCCAGGAGAACCCTAATGCCCCCCCCTTCCCAAGCTCAATTAATTCCTGCCTCACTTGTATAGGAACACTGTCCCCTAAATGTGCCCCATACTGTCCTGCGTCCTCTCCTGTGGGGTCTGTCCTGCCCTGTGAGGCCGCCCTCATGCCAGCCTCTCCTCCTGGCCATTTCCAAGAGGCGATGACCGCAGAGTGTCCAGTGGGCGTGAGCAGTGTAAGGTCCAGATGGTGTCAGGGCAGAGCAGCTGCACCCAGCGAGGGCAGGGCCTGGCCATGGCCCCCTGGACCAGTGAGAGAGCTCCTCCCTGGGCCCCCCGTGGGGACCACCCCATGTGCACACTGAGCACCCCCACTCTGCTTCTGGCCTCCCGGCTGGTTCCTCAAACACCGTCTATCATGGTCACCCTTAGAGGCTGGCAACACTAAGGCACTCAGAGGCGGTGTTCCAAAGGCAAGGGCATCTAGCACTGGGCGGGGCTCTGCTCAGTTTGAGGGCTGCACTTGGTCTAGACCTCTGTGCCTCAGTTCCCCGCATCCGCAAAAAGAGAAGCACCTGCACTTCACAAGTCCTCTGTGCCCACGCTTGAGATGACCCAGTGGGTCAGCAGGGGTCGGTGGTGGCTTCTTCCTGGACCTTTCTTGGCCTTTCCGTCCTCACCCAGACCTAGCAGTACTGGCTTGGAGGAGGGGCTAACTGGCCCTGGGAAGGGGGGGCACCCCCTAGGCTGTCTCCCTGGCCAATGGGTCCCTTCCCCTTGTCCCTGGAAGGTCCATCTGGGACAGAGGGGCGGTTTCCTCTATCTAGAGACATTAGCCCGTCACCCCGTCCTCCCGCGGGGCGCACCGGCAGAGGGAGGTCCAATGAGCACAGCCACGGCCTCGACGAGCAGCACCAGGCCCAGAGCACTGGGGAAGCGGTGCGAACCCACGGCTGCCATGAGCACCTCGAACTGCAGCGCGCCCACCATGCCGTACGAGAGGCCGAAGGCGATGCAGAAAGCGACCAGGGCGCCGTAGGAGCGCGCGCGCGCGCTGCTCAGGTCCGTGAGCCCATTGGCCATCAGGGCCAGGCTGAAGAGGTAGGCGACATGAGGTCGTAAGCGCGCCAGGCCCGCCAGGGCGCCGCACGCCGGCCGTGCCACGATGTCTACGAAGCCCACGATGGACAGCAGGAAGGCGGCGTCGGCGTCCGGCACGCCCGCGTCCTTGGCGTAGTTCACCAACAGGATGGCGGGCACGAAGAGACCGAGGGCCATCAGGAACTTGGTGACGGCGTACACCCCGAAGGCGCGGTCGGCGCAGACGGCCACGTCCAGCAGGCGCCGGCGGGCGCGGCCGCCAGGGGGCGCCTCGCGCAGGCGCAGCCCGGCGCGGTCCGCTTCCGCCTCCCCGGGAGCGTCGTCGGCGCTGTCCCTGCGCGGCCGCGGGCCGGGCCCGGGCGGCGGTCGCATGACGGCGCCGCAGGCGCAGCAGTTCAGCAGGAGGCCGCCGAGCAGAAGGAAGCCGCCGCGCCAGCCGAAGTGCTCGAGCAGCTGTTGGCCGAGCGGTGACAGCGCCGACAAGAACACGGGGCTGCCCGCCGCCGCCAGCCCGTTGGCCAGGGGCCGCCGCCTCTCGAAGTACAGCCCCAGCATGATGAGCGACGGCTGGAAGTTGAGGGCCAGGCCCAGGCCTGCGGGCGAGGCGGCGCTGTGCCGGGCTCCCAGAGGGCGCCCCAGCCCCAGCCCCCGGGGCAGGAGTGGGGGCGGGGGGTGAGGCTCCGACAGGGCGGGCAGACCCCCGGGGGGAAACTGAGCCATGGGACTTCGAGGACCGCCTTTCGAGGGGAAACCGAGGACAGAAGGCCTTGCAGGAAGGTCTCCTGACCCCCACCCTCACGGCCAGCCCCCATCCGCGTAGGGGAGGTGTGCAGTGGCCGCCCTCACCTGTTAGCACCCCAGCGGTCAGGTATAGCTCCAGGAGGCGCGTGGCGAAGGATGCTAGCACCATGCCCGCAGAGGCCAACAGCCCACCCACCAGCATCACCGGGCGACAGCCGAAGCGGGTCACCAGGATGCTGGAGACTGGACCTGTGGGCAGGACACGGGCGCCGCTCAGGCTGGACTAATCCCTTTTCCCGTGGACGCTCCGGGGTTTGCACCTCCCAGCCCCAGAAAACGGCTCAAAGGGATAATGTCACCATCGGTTCAGAGAGGGCAGTGTCTGGCCAAGGTCAAGTGCTTGGCCAGGATAACGCCAGCATTTCCCCCCCTCAACAGGCGGTTAGGGCTCAGGGGAGCGGGAAGCTTACTTAGGTCTATTTCCCCACCTGTAATATGAGCGGGCGTAGCTACGTCTTTGGGCAGGAACGGAAGGGTCCGGCTGGGTGGCCGCGCTTGCCAGGTGGCCCCCTAGTGTGTGGGGTCTACCTCGAGCCGCTGCCCCTTTCCTGCCCTTTCCTCCCCCCTCTCTGGCGTTTCCAGCGTTTTCACAGAAGAAACGCCCTCCCCGAGGGGTCTGGGGGATGCTCATGGGATCTGTGTCTCCTGGTCCCTGATCCCCACTCTCAATCCCGGGCCTGGGGTTGGGGGAGGGACCCGCGAGGGGGCGCTGACCGGTGCCGTAGAGCATGGCGAGCATGATGGAGGACACCCAGGCCGTGTCGCTGTAGCCCGCGCCGAAGTCGCGCATGAGCGCGCGGAAGAAGACGCTCACGGCCTTGGGGAAGCCATAGGCGAAACCCGTGATCACGAAGCAGGCGCCCAGCACGGCCCAGCCCCAGCCGCCGTCGGGGGGGCCCGCGCCCCGTCGGGGGCCGCCAGCGCCCATCGCTGCTGCTTCTGCTTAGAGGAGGGGGACGAGAGGGAGCAGCGAAGGTCTGTAGCCCGGACAAGAAAGGGGGACGGAGGCCCAGCGTGAGGAAACTGAGGCACGGGGCTACCCACATGAACCCTGCTCAGGGAATGAGTCAAGAGGGGAAGCCCAGGCAACACCTGACCCCAAATCTCCCCTCCTCCAAGGGGCCTGTGGAAGATGAAGGGAGAATGATAGAATCGCTCCCACCTGAATCTGAACTTGAGGAAGACTCCCTCTGGAAGACACTCCTTGCCCAGGGACCTGGTGGCGGCAGGAGAGGGGCTGCTGGTGAATGGGAGGGCGGGCCAGTGAGCGTGCGCCCCATGTGCTTGGGAATCACCAGTGCTCCAGGCGTGCAGGTGTGAGGGTCTCAGCACAGAGGAACCAACAAACCAGCCCCATGCGTGGGGCAGAGCTGCAAGCTGGCTGGGGCTTCTTTTCTGCCCTGGCCTCGCCATATGTTCCTAGTTTTTCTCAATGATCAGAAATGACTTGGGGCGCCTGGGTGGCTTAGTCGGTTAAGCGTCCGACTTTTGCTTAGGTCATGATCTTGCGGTTCGTGGGTTCGTGGGGCTCTGTGCTGACTGCCAGCTCAGAGCCTGGAGCCTGTTTCGGAGTCTGTGTCTCCCTCTCTCTGACCCTCCCCTGCTCACTCTCTCTCTCTCTCTCTCTCTCTCCTAGAAATAAATAAAAATATTTTTAAAAAAAGATCAGAAATGACTATTGTCATTTATGAAAAATAAGAAAAAAAAAGCCCAAAGAACATGTAAGAATATGAGCCTTGTTTCAGGAGCCAAGGGAGCGGAGTTCTGGATCCCCCTGGCTTAGCCACGGATTTGCTCTGTGACTTGGGCAGTTCCCCTTCCCCAGCTGAGCCTCAGTTTTGCCATCTGTAAGATGGGTGATGGATTACCCCAAGAGTCTTGGTTGGGGGGGAGGGGGCGATCAGATCTCTGGTTCCGCTGGGCAGAGACGGACCTCTGAGGAGGCCACCAAGAAAGAGACCTGCTCTCCGAACCCCTAGCAGCCCCCCAAACCCTCCACAAGCAGAAAACAGCTCTGAGGTCTCTCACACGCCTGGGGCTCCACCCAGGGGTTCACACAGCAGCCTCATGCGCCCCTATAAGACGAGGCAGGTGGGCCTCCCCAGTAGGGTGGGCCAGCCCACAGCTGGGGCAGAAGCCTCCTTCTCTCCCACCGCCCCTCTGCACCTGACCCTGGGGAGCATCAAGAGCCCTGTGGGTGTCTGGGACTCTGACCTTCTCTGACCAGGGCGGGGTCCCAGCTTTTCCCGCCTCTTGTCCCCTCACCATGGCTGCAGCCACTCGGAGACCAGGACAAGGGGGTGGGCCTGGCAGCCCTTGCCCCATACTCACCTGAGCCGTGCTGTGGGTTGGGGTGTCCAGCCTCACATCTCCTGAGGCCTACAGGGAGGGGCTGCCCCCGGTTCCCCCCTGGGAAGCCTAGCTTGAGGGGGCCACGCCGCTGAAGACCCCCAGGGCTGCCTACAGATCAGCCGCTGGCCAGACTCACCCACAGCTCCCTCCCGCAGGCCTAGGGCTTAGAGTGTGCCCCACCCCCACCCCTCTAAGAGGCTTTTGCCTGGAAAGGCAGAAGGGACAGGGCGGTGACCGCAGCACAGGGCCAGGCTGGACCCCACGGTGGAGGTCCCTGTCTCGGGCCCTCCCAGCAGAGCTAAAGAGATAATAAGGGGGACCCTCCGCTGAGCAGAGGAGGCACAGAGCCCTGGTCTGGGGGGGGCAGGGGCAGGTCCTAGAGGTGCTGCGGGCACAGCCCTGCCCTCGAGAGGCCCCACCAGCCCTACTCACCTCAGCGCCTTGCCTGCCCCCCACCCCCAGACCACATTCCAGGAGGGGCCTCCGAGGCTTTCCCCTGGATCAGGCTAATCCAGGTCAGAGAGCCTGGGACCGAGGGGGGGGGGCGGAGGGGCCAGAACAAAGGGTGCTGTGTCCCAGGCTGTGGAAGAGTGACCTGTTGGTGGTCAGGGACCTTGGCCACCGCCACCCCTCTGCCTCTGGAGAGGCCACCACAGCAGCAAAGAGACTGGGCGGGAGGTGTGGGTGGCTAGAGCCCCCGGGCTCCTGGGCGGACCTAAAGATTTGCTTAAAACGAGGGGCGTGAGAGGTGCCTGGGTGGCTTGGTCTGTTGAGCACCCGATTTTTGGTTTCAGTTCAGGGCCTGACCTCGCGTTTCATGGGTTCAAGCCCCGCATCGGGCTCTGTGCTGGGATTCTCTGTCTCCCTCTCTCTTTGCCCCTCCCGTACTCTCTCTGTCACAAAATAAACTTAAAAAAAAAAGAGAGAGAGAGAGGGATGTGAGGGGCTGTGAGTGAGCGAGTCCTCCCAGGGAAGTACCAGTGACCCCCAGGACCTCCTGGACCCCGTTCTCCAGTGGGAGGCCTCCATGCCCCGCCCCCTTCCTGTCCCCCCAGTTACACACCGCCAGTCCTGCTGCTGTGTCCACTTGCTTTATTTCTCCCCATTTACAAAAGTTAAAGAGAAGGACATATGGGGGGTGGGGAAGGGGGGGCGCGGGGCTCCTCCCTGCTGGGGCAGAGGAGGGGAAAGGGGGTGCGGTGCACGAGGCAGGTCCCCAGAGAGAGTCCTGGGGCCCTTAAAGCGGAAGAGACTGTCCCGTCCTCCATTCTGCCTGCTTTATTTTGAAGGTCCCAGCCCCCAGGCCAGCCCCCTGAGAGCTGCTCAGGCTGGGGGCGCGGCGCGGGAGGGGCAGCCACCCCCAGTGTCAGGGCCCCGGCTTCTTGGGTCCACTGCTGCTCCTCCTGCTGCCGCCACCAGCTCCGGGCACCCCTTGGGCGGGGGTGGTGGGGGGGGCGGGCGAGCTCAGACCCCGGATGGAGGAGGGCGCCTCAGCGGATGAGGGGCGCTGAGCGGTCGTTGGTGACTGTGGGCCGCAGCTTTACGGTGGCAAAGGGGTTTGTGCCTCTGCGAGGGGAGAGGTCAGAGTGAGAGGGGCCCAGGTCCCCAGCTGGCTCGGGCTCCGGGGGAGGTCGCCAGGCACCTGAGCCAGTGTCCAACCCCACCTCCTGGTCAACTCTCGCCCCTATTTCATCTCATCTCCCCCCCAGGAGCCCCTGCTGAGCCACGTCCCCCCCACCCCCCCGACTCCCGTTCTAGAATGTTCTAGGACTCACGGAGGGAAAAGCTCTGGAGGGTGCTGCTCCCAGGACGTAAGTTTCTGCAGTGAGGGTGGAGGAAGGGCCAGGTTTAGAGGGGGAAGGGACGAGTGAGCCCCCACCTCTGCAACTCCCCATTCCAGGGAGGCAGAGGACCAGACCAGAGGCCCCTACAGGCCAGGCTTCTGGGAAATGAGGCCCAGGTGTTCCGAAGCCCAGACTTCTCTGGGTTTCAGACTGGAGAAGCCTCTGGGCCGGGCCTCCAGCTGCTCTCCCCGCCAACACCCCACCCCCGGTCCTGCCCAGCCAGCCCCAGCCCAGGCTCCCACCCAGGACCCTGGTCTTGCCTCTGCTGGGAGGCAGGAAGGACAGGCCTTTTCCAGTGCTCCCAGCAGGGCCACGGGGGCTCCAGTCCCTGGTAAGAATGCGTCCCCCCTACCCTCTGCCCCAGGCTCAGAAGTCCATCCCACACCTCCCTGCAGATGGGCAAACAGGCTGGGGTGGGAGGGCCCCACCTCCAGCCAGCCAGTGGCAAAGCAGTGAGGGTTACCCAGTCTCCAGTCTCCCAGCCCGCTGGACCGGCGCAGGGCTGGGGAGAGGCTGGGGGCGGAGGGGGCTCACCTTGACGTCACTCGCCACCCCCATGCTGCCCATGCTGTTCCGGCGGCTGCTGGGCAAGGGCGTAGGTGCAGGGCTGGGGGCACCGCTCGGGACCCGGCTTGGGGTTCGGGAGCGAGACTGGCCATCCCAGTACTCCGAGGATGCCGTAGAGTTGCCTGGCCGGTCCAGGAGGTCATCAAGGCTGTGGCTGCCCCGGAGCGGGTAGGATCTGAGTCCAGAGGATGGAGGGACGGGAAAGGAGGGGGGGGTCAGGCGTCAGGCCCCTGCTGCGTCCCCCCACCCCTGATCTTGCTGGGCCCCTCAGCATCCTACAGCTTCTTCCCTTGCATGGCAGGGGGGAGAGGGTTGGGGGAGGGGAGGCTACAGCACTTGGAGGCAGTCCCCCGAGGTGGCAGAGGCATGGATGCAATGACTTTGGCATGTAGAGAAGTGGGGTTCCCCTTCCTCCAGGGGCCAAAGGAGGCTGGGAGCACGTAGGACTGTGACTCACAGATGTCCCCCCTGGGGGGCGGGACCGCCCCCTGAAGTCCCACCCCGGCCCCACCTCTGACCACCCGGGTACCTGGAAGGTAGCTCATTCATAGGGTTCATCAGGTTCATGGAGGTCACTGGGTTCAAGGGGTTCATGGGGTTCACGGGCACCTCCTCCAAAGGCTTCACATAGGCCTCGGGGAACCAGCCGCTCCTGCGGGGTGGAGGCAGGGGGTCCCATAGGCAGAAGGCCCAACAACAGGGGTCAAAACCACACTTCCGGGAGCAGACAGATACTGGGCGGTGCTGTGCGCCAGGCCTTGCTCGAAGGGCTTTGCCCCCGAGTTACTCATTTAATCCCTCAAGGAGACCTTCTCCACCTTCAAGTCCAACTGGCCAGCTTCATGTCCCACCAGGGGCTAGGTCACCTCGGGAGGAGCTGGAAGTCCAGGGAGGAAAGAAATGTGTCCAAGGACATGTGGTGACCGGCTTCGTTCTCTACTCACGGGGCACCCACCACGTGAGGGCTCGCAGAGAGCCTGATGCACTTCCCGCTCCCCAGAGTCCCCCAGCCCGGCTGACGGCCTGCAAACGGATGATCACAGGGTGACTGTGAAGGGCACAGGGTGGGGGCCGAGGATCACAGGCAACTGTACGAGCCAGGGGAAGGGGCACTGGAGCCTACGGTGCCTGACTATCATCCAGGGCCCTTTCCTCCTCAGCCCTGCCGCTTCCCTCTACCCTAGGACTCTGGTTCCGGTGACCCCAGGCACCCTGGCCTTAGAGAGTCTTTGCCTGGCCGGAGGCTCATTATCGCGTCTCCAGAGCAGCCAGGGCTCAGGGAGAGGCACACCATGTGATGTCCCTTAGCTTTTTCAGACCCCACGGAAACCACCAGATTCTTGCAAAGCACTTGGGAAAGTGTTCTCCCCAAAGCCACCTTAGACCTCCAAACCTAATCAACAGCGTTCTCGCCTAAAGGTAACTGGAAGCTATTTCAACTCAGAAAAAAAAAACCACTGCCAAACGTTTTACTTCTGCTTTCACCATCAAGTGCCCACTGATAAAAGTTGCCATCTTCTCCCCTGCCCCGTGAGGCACAGGGAGAACAACAAAGTCCCAGGAACGTGGGTTGAGAGCACCAGTCAAGGCGGTTTTCCACTCAGGTCCCCAGGAAGTCTGCTATACGCCTGTTGTGGGGACTTGTGTGGGTCCACAAAGTAGGTGTTTCCAACCCTGGTGTTTGTGGCCATCTCTCTACCTGCCAGCCCATCCTTCTGGTCTTGATCCAATAGTCCCCTGTCCTCCACCCCTCCATCCACACATCATCCCCCCCTGCATCACACATCCAGGATCCACGTGGGCAGCCACACACGGACCACCCGTCCCTAATCCGTCCATGAGCTCCTGCCCACCTGCCTGCCTCTCTACCAGCCCATTCATATACCTTTCATATACACCCCAGTCTGTGTATGCACCCCACATCCGTGCATCCTCCCTGCCCACAGGATCACCCTCTCATTCACTCTCCACCCACCCACCCTCCACTGACCACACCCACCATCCACTGACCAAACCTCCATCTAGTCTCCACCCACCCACCATCCACTGACCACACCCCATCCACTCTCCACCCACCATCCACTGACAACACCCCCATCCACTCTCCACCCACCCATCCACTGACCACACCCACCACCCACTGACCACACCTCTATCTAGTCTCCACCCACCTACCATCCACTGACCACTTCCCCATCCACTCTCCATCCACCCATCCACTGACCACACCCACCATCCACTGACCACACCTCCATCCAGTCCCCACCCACCCACCATCCACTGGCCACACCTCCATCCAGTCCCCACCCACCCACCATCCACTGACCACACCCCCATCCACTCTCCACCCACTCATCCACTGACCACATCCACCATCCACTGACCACACCTCCATCCAGTCCCCACCCACCCACCATCCACTGACCACACTCCCATCCATCCTCCACCCACCCACCATCCACTGACCACACCCCATCCACTCTCCACCCACCCACCATCCACTGATCACCACCCTCCACTCTCCCACCCACCATCCACTGACGCACAACCCCCCTCTACCTGCCCACTGTTGTCCGATCCACACCACCTGCCTTATCCACCCTCCACCTCCCCACTGTCCACTGGCCCCATCCACCTTCCCTCTGCCCACTATCCACTGACTGACAGCCCCATCCATCCTCTGCCTGCCCAACAGCCACTGACCCACACTCCCACCCCTACAAGCACTTTCCCGTGCACCTGCTGACTCCGCCCTGTAAGCCTCCGTTCATTCACTCAGGCCTCTATTCATTCCTTCTCCCCCTAGCATGAGTGCGAGCGGGCACCACGCAGTCTCCTGTCCATAAAGCCCGGTGCGGGTCACTGCCTGGCTCCAGCAAGCTCTCGCCTTTCCTCGCACACTCCCTTTTTGGCTGCGGACACCTGCTCTCCTCCAGGCTTGCAGCGACCACAGAGTACCACCTCCCGCTTCCCTTCATGGTGTCAGAACCAACCTCGATGTGAATTCTTTGAGGACTTTCACTGCACATGACTGCACAACTTGGCCTGTCGCCTACAACGTCCCAGCTTGGCCTCTGGACCTGGCCCCGGGGGAGCCCGCCACCATGCCCACAGCCTGCATCAGCGCTCTGGGAACTGTCTCCGGGTAAAGAGGGGCGCCCTGCGGGGCGCACAGTTAAGTGCTCAAGCAGTGGGTTTTCTGCAGTGTTTGGCAGCGCAAGAGGGGACCTTCTCGTTCCCCTCAAGGGCCACCACCCTGTATTCAGCGGGGAGGTTCTTCCCCCTTGACCGGATGAGGAAACCGAGGGCTGTACGGGAGGAGGGGAGAACGGTCTACGGACCTGGAGTGGAGGAGGTGGGGGGCGGGGAAGTGGCGGGCGGGCCGGAGCCCAGGCCTGCGGGGCCTCCTTCCAACCCCTCCCCTGCGCCCCAGGCCCCCCCCCGCTCACGTGGATGAGCCCTCCAGCTTGCCGTAGAGCCAGCCGTTCTGGGCCTCTGGCACCAGCACTTCCACCACGTCTCCGGCCGAGAAGCGCAGCAGCGTGTGGTTGGCGCCCTCGGAGTGGGAGACGAGGGCGCGGACCCTCCGGGCGCCCCCGCCGCCGCCCCCGCCGCCCGGGCGCTCGCCGAAGGAGTTGGAGCGCGAGCGCTGGGTGCTGCCGGCGTAGAGCGAGGCTGCGGGGCCGGGGAGAGAGCGCGGCGGCACGTGGGTGGCCGGCTCGGCGCCGCCGCCGCCCTCGAGGCGCCTGCTGCCGGGCCGCCTCAGTGCCTCTTCTTCCCTCCCCACCAACCCACCCGTCCCCTGGGTCCCCGGCCCTCTCTCTGCGCTCCGGGGGCCGCGGCCACTCACAGGCGGACGGCGTCCGGGGCAGCGCCCGGCGGTCTGGCTCCAGCTGGGACGCGGACCGCGCCTCGGCGGGCTCGGGGCCGGAGCCGTAGGAGCCGGAGCCTTGCCGGCTGCGCGGGGAGCTGAACTCTGCCAGTGGCCTCTGGGGCTGCGAGGGGAGACGGGCAGGGGAGGGTGGGGCGGGGAGGGGGGAGGGGGGCGGCCGTGGCACCCTAGTCCAGCCCCCACCCCCAGTCCCAGACGTCGGCGTAGGGGTTCTGGGGGCGGCCCAGCCACCACGGGGGCGCCGAGGCCGCGCCGGGGCGGAAAGGCGGGCCCAGAGGCGCTGCGTAGACGGGGAGCCTGGGGGGCAGGCGGCTCCATGGGGACGGCCTCGGGCCCCAGGGCGCCATGGAGGGTGCGGGGACCAGCGGGGGCGCGAACAGCGGCAGGGGCGCCCAGGGCCTCACCATGTCCAGGCGGGTGGGCGTCATGCGACCCGAGGGGTAGGGCGGCCCCAGCGCGGGGCCCAGCAGCCCGGGGGAGTGGGCGCGCGACGGGCTGCGGCTGGCCTCCGACTGCTCCTTCCACAGCAGCACGCGGTTCTGGAGCATGCCCCGGGCCTGGGCGCGTGGGGACACAGGGGTCAGGCAGATCTGAGCTGGGGACTCCAAAGCGACACCCTAGACCTTGGGAACTCGGGCCCTGCAAGCTGAGGATGACGGCATGATCAAGCTGGAGGGAGCCAGAGATCGCCGTGGACCCCCAATGCACCCCCTCTTTTGTCCCCCACGGTCTTTCCCGAGAAGCTCCTGCCTCTGCACCCAGGCTCTGTGCTTTGGCCGGGCTCTCCCACTGCCCGATACAGCAGGAGGGGTAGAACCCTGGCCTGACCGTCCCGCTTTGCTTCGTCTTCCAGGCCACATGGATGGACGCAGGCATGGCACTCCCCCAAAACCTGTGACCAGAGAACCCAGTCCCAGTACTTATCCAGGAACAATCTGGAAATAGCTATTCTTTTACTTCACGGGGGCTCGGGAAACAGAGTGAAACCAACACAGGAAACTACAACTAGGGGGAAATGGCAAATTTCTGATGACCTGTGCGCGCCTACATCCAGCTATACCGGAAGCCCTTGAACTTCCCAGTACCTAAAGGGATAAATACCTCTCCTGAGTAAGCCAGTTTGAGTAGTTTCCTAAAAGAGGCCCTTCAAGTCCAGTTTTTCCAGTCTAGTCCTTCTAGCCTACAGAAGCAGTCGTAGTGTCCCTGGTACATAAGGCATCTAACTGAATACTTTCAAGGACAGGAAACTAGGCAGCTGAGCACACGATTCATAACAACTTGGGGGGAGAGGGCTTTAAATGTTAGACCACCTGGGTACATTAATCATTTAAAATTTTTTTTCTGAAAAAAAAAAAAAAATTTTTTTTCTGTGTTGACATCCCGGGGCTTTGTTAATCCGGCAGATTCTCCCTCCCAGGGCTCTGATAATTCCTAGAGATAGTAAGCACTTGCCTGTAAGCTAGTGTGCAAAACGGCCAGTCCAAACCCCACATCCCTAACCACCTCCCTTACCTAACACACACCAAGCTAATATTTCCCCCTGCCCCAAATCACCCCTAGACGCAACCCCTCTAGCCCCGAGCCCAATGAAATCATTCAAACCATCCCAATCCGAAATTTGCTAAAACTTACCCACTCGGCCTCGCCCATTCCCTCCCTTGGAAACTGTATTAAAGGTTCGAGCCCACGCTTTCCCCTTGTTCCTTCTGCCTCTTGCCCAGCTCCTGATGCTTCCCCTTGTGGCCCCGTGTGACTCGCCATGACCCCTCCTCTTGGGAACTGTGATGTGTACTGAAACGTCTTTCCATGGCCTTGATCTCTCTGCGCTGTCACTTCTATAAATTAAATCCCAGGTATGATCAAAACACTGTGCTCTCTTCGGCTATAAAGGTCTCTCTCCTTCTTCTAGGCAAACATCCCCCTGTCCCCAGACCACGCTCAAGACGGTCACCTTAGGAATGACAAAAGCTTCCCTTTGTTGGGCATTTACTCTGTGCCAGGCCAGGGTTCAAGCTTTACCCGTACTGTCATATCTGATTCTCACAATAGCCCTGGGAAGTAGATGCCCTTGTTGGCACCATTTTGTAGAAGAAGATGCTAAGGGTCAGAGCCGTTCATGACTGGCTCTAGGTCTCACATCCAGTGAGCCTGGAGTGGGGAGGGCGGCTGTACTAGTCCATCCTGAGGAAGCTTCCTGGAATGGCACCTGTCCACGATTCCTCCCTTCAGTCTGGCCTCGCTGCTGAAAACCTCAGAGGGCTCTCGGGCAGCAAAACAGCAGGAATTCCATCATGGAAGCGAGTGGTCACTAGGTCACTGGGTGGACACGCCCTCTGTGGCCTTGCATACCCAATTCGCAAAACAGCCCACAGACCAAAACTCCGTTCTGTTTCAGAAGTAGCATGCAAAGGAAGGACGTTGGGTTCTGCAGACCGTCTTTTAGAACAGGTTCTTGTCCAGCTGGAGAACACTCCCTGGAAAGCAACTGCCATGGTGCTAGGGCATTCTGGGAGTAAAGGTCGCAGCACTGAGTCCCAGCCCGGACAGCACAGAAGTTTAAGGGCTTTCCTCAACCCTGCCTCCAGGCAGTGTAGCCAGTGGTTGGGAAGAAACCCCACACGGGCTTTCAAAACCATAAAGAGACCGTGGGAGAATTTTTAAAACATGTATGGAGTGGAAGAGCCATTCTAAGTATGATACAGACCCCCGTGTACTAGAAAATACCAATGCATTTGATTAAGTAAAAGTGATTTTTTAAACATGGCAAAACCCACAATAAGCGAAGTCAACTGATAAATGACACACTGGGAAAATATGCGCATCTCATCTCCAAGAGAGCTCTAATTTCAGTAACATATAAAGAGCTCCTAGAAACTAACAAGCAAAATGGAGGAAAAGATGCTGATTATCCCAGGGAATATCCAGGGCATCCAATGGCTCTGGAACATGAAAAGATATCAATCTGACTTAGAAGACAAGGATGAAACAAAGCCATGCGGAGAGACCATTTTTACCTCGCTCATGGGCAAGGAGGGAAAAGTTTGCTCTCACGCTGCTGTCAAGGAAGAGGGACTCTCCTATTTTGCCAGCAGAAGCATGAACTGACACAATGAATGCCCGTATCCTTGGGCTTGCCAATTCCGTTCCATTCCATTCCATTCCATTCCTAGGAGCTAATCCTGGAGGCACACTCGCGCAACTGCAATAAAGCCCAGAGAAGCTGAGGGTGAGGGAGGTTATTGGCCAGACGCAGACTCAGCCGGGCTGGTTATGGGAGAATAAGCTGAGAATAACCGCTTGCCAAACTCGAGCCCTCATCGTTTCTTTCAACATTATTCCAAATCTTGTGCATTCTATTTATAGATATAGTGACAAGTGAACATGTGCGTTTGACTGTCTTAGGGAGTTAGATCTCGTGTGTCCTAAAGTCCGGCTGGGTCATACAACACGATACCTGTCCCCCCCAACCCCCATATCTAGGGGACGTCTGGCTCATTCAACCCCCGGCGCCTTCCTGAGGGGTGATCACTCAGCAGGAGGCAGCCAGGGGAGGGGTCAGCCCTCTTCTTAATGTTGGAGGTTGACTGTTCAGGACAGAGGAAGAAAGGAGTTTCCTTCCAAAGAGCGCACATAGATGGCCAATAAGCACAGCGAGAGATATTCAACATCACTAGCCATCAGGGAAATGCAAATCAAAATATAATGCGACACCACTTCACATCCACTAGAATGGCTATCATCAGAGCGATGGACAATAATAAGTGATGGAAAGGATGTGGAGGAATTGGCGATCTCATATACTGTTGGTGGGACGGTAACACGGTGCAGCCATTTTGGGAAAACAGTCTGGAAGCTCCCAGAACAGTTCAACGTAGAGTTACCCTATGCTTAGCAAATCCATCCCCTATTGCCAGGAGGAACGAGAACTCGCCCACACAAAAACGTTCACATATATCCACGGTGGCATTATTTATCAGAGCCATAAAGTCGAAACAACCCAGATATCCATCAACTGATGAACGGATAAGTAAAATGTGGTCTATCTAGACCATGAAATGTTATTTGGTGATAAAACAGGATGATGTACTGGGACTCAGTAGGCTGAGTGTCTGACTCTTGATTTTGGCTCAGGTCATGAGCTTATGGTTTGTGAGTTCGAGCCCCATGTTGGGCTCCATGCTGACAGCGTGAAGCCTGCTTGGGATTCTCTCATTCCCTCTCTCTTTCTCTGCCCTTCCCTTTCGCGTTTTTTCTCTCTCTCTTTCTTTCTCTCTTTCTCTCACAAAATACATAAATAAACTTCAAATCTATAGAAATAGAATGTAGATCTGTGGTTGTCTGGAGCGGCAGGCGGGGGGGGGGTGTGGTAGGATGGGGAGGGGCTGGGGAATGGCCATTAAGGGGTAATGCACATGTTCTGAACTTGATCGTGGCAATGGATACACAACCCTGTGAATATACAAGATGCCACTGAACTGTACACTCTAGATGGATGGATTGCAGGCCATGTGGATTCGATCTCAATAAAACCGTTTAAAAGAAGATTAAACAGTTCCTTCATGGAGTATCAGTCCATGGGAGAGAGGAGGGTCAGGGAGAGAATGCTGAGCCCTGAGCTGGGAGCTGGCTGCGGTGACAGTGTCTCCCCCTCTGCTCAGCACCAGGGGGTCCCTGGGCTCAGAGACTTGGGAAGGGGCTTGGCTGAGGATTAGGCAGGAGTCTGCTATCTCCCAGAAGGGGAGCTTTCGTTTTCATCTTTGGAGGGGAGAGAGCAGGGGCGGGAGAACCTAATTCACTGGGCTCCTTCGTATGAGGCTCCATCAGGACATCAACCTTGTGAGGTGGAGATTTTATCCCTCTTTTGCCAGAGAAGAAATGGGACTCAGAGAAGTGAAATCACTTGCTGGGTTTGCAGCCAGAACACAGAGGCTGGGAATCTGAACAAGAATACAAAGAAAGAGAAATAGAAACTAAATAAGGATGCAAAGAAACAGAAAGCACTGGACAGAGTGATGAAGCTGGAGGGGGTGTGGGGCGGGGGGTGCGGGAGGAGGAGCCCTGTATGTGGCATCAGGAAAGAGAAGCTGGGCAGGTCAGGGACACACTCCGTCTCAGATATAAAATAGAGTCAGAGTCTGACATGACAGCGGAGCTTTAAAAATATTTATGAAATACGTGAATGAGGGGCACCTGGGTGGCTCAGTCGGTTAAGCGTCTGACTTCGGCTCAGGTCATGATCTCGCAGTTGGTGAGTTCGAGCCCTGTATCAGGCTCGAACTGGTGGTGCGGAGCCTTCTTGGGATGCTCTCTCACTCCCTCTCTCTCTTTCTGCCCTTCCCCACTTAAAAAAATAAATAAATACGTGAATGAAAGAACAAATGGTATTGGAAAATGCAGAGACAAGGCCATCAGTGTGAAGGCATGGCAGAAATGTTATGTCCAGGTGTCCTTGGGGCGTCCTTCAATACATCCCACCAGGCCGCCTCTGGAGGGGCCAAAGCTAGGCCAGACCAGGCAGGTAGGCAAGGCCACATGCCAGGTGGGTAGTAGCTGTGAGGGTTCAGCCCCGGTTGGACCTACAGAAGACAGTAGGGCAGAATTTTGACCAGTGCTGAGCTGGCAGGGGCCTGAAGACCCATAATGGAGATGTTGGGCAAGAGCGGTCCAGGCAATACTGCTCACAGAGGTACCTGGGGAGGGCAGTGGTGAGTATCCCTCCTGAGTGTGGCCTGGGAGTTGCTACTGGCTTTCCTGAATCCCAGGGCTCCAGAGCCTCGGGCTGCTGCCAGCCCATAGGCTAACTCCTTAGAATTTAGAGACAGGTGTCCCCTCTAGATGGACAGTCTGGCAGGCACACATTTGGTGAGAGGATGGCCTCGTTATGCAAAGAAAAAAGTGCTCCTTCCTCCAGGAAAACACAGTCTGTGTGAGTGTGTTGAGCTTTGAGGGTAGAGCATAGCTCTGGCTCTCAACCAGGTACCCTTGTGCAGTGCACAACCTGCATGACCTTTCCTGGCAGCCCTGTCTGCAGTGGTTCCCCACATGAGTAGGCTACATCAATCTCTATTCCTGAGGCCGGGTGAGAGCTGATGCTTGCTGCAGGAAGACCTAAGTCAGAATGAGGAGGCAAAGGAAAGAAACAAGGGACCTAAGAGGACCCAGTGGTCAGGGAGGAGGACCCGGCAGACCATCCAGGCAGCAGAAAGAAGGAGTGACAAGCCTAATAAGATCTTGATCGGAGCCTGTGCTACATAACACAGACCTTCTTACCTAGACAAAGAATGCTTACAAGATGTAAAATTGAACAGATGAACTGGGGCGCCCGGGGGAGCTCAGTCAGTTAAGGGTCTGACTCACGGTTGTGAGATCCAGCCCCACGTCAGGCTCAGCTCAGAGCATGGAGCCTGCTTGGAATTTTCTTTCTCTCCTCCTCTCTCTGCCCCTCTCCCGCTCATTCTCTCCCACCCCCCAATAAATAAATAAACTTAAAAAAAAAAAAATTGAACAGAAGCACTAAAAGAGAAAATAGTCCTATTGAGAACATAGTTGCCTAACGAGTCAAGGGGGAGAAATATCTCAAAACACAGAACAAGCAGAAATGACATAGACATGGGGAGGGAGGAGGTTGTAGATGCAGAGTTCCGGAAGGAGGAAAAGGAATGATGGCAGAGAGATAACAGTTAAAGAAACAGACGAGCACATCGCTCCCCTGACTCGAATACAGACCTGAGCCTGCAGAGGGAAGGGCACTGATGGGCGCTCATCTGTGGGTAACCAGACAATTCCCCAGTCCCAAGGGCACCAAGAAAATCTCCAAGAGACCAGAGAAAGAGCCAGTTACGTACGAGGGCAAGGAGACAGACCAGCACCTGACTTCGCATCCACAACACAGGGCACTAGGAAACGGAAGACCATCGTCTCGGACCACAAGAGAAAAAGCCCGTGGCCCTGGAGTCCTTCGACCAGCTAATGTGCCACTCAGCAGTTTGGGCAAAAGTGAGACATTTGCAGATAGGCAAGGATTCAGGTGGTGCATCTGCAGAAAATACCCAGGGAATCAGGACCAAAACCTCAAGACGGTGGGAATGGAAAGGAGTGAAAACAGAAGTGAGTAGTGTATCTGATCATATGTGTGGTAAAACGCGAGTGTGTGGTGACCACGCACTGGGCAGTGGTAATATATGTAACCTGGGTAAAGTTTCTTTTTTTAATTTTAATTTTTTTAATGTTTATTTATTTATTTATTTTTGAAGGAGTGAGAGAGATAGAGCGTGAGCGATGGAGGGGCATACAGAGAGGGAGACACAGAATCGGAAGCAGGATCCAAGCTCCGAGCTATCAGCACAGAGCCCGACGTGGGGCTCGAACCCACGAGCTGTGAGATCATGACCTGAGCCGAAGTTGGACGCTTAACCGACTGAGCCACCCAGGCGCCCCTCTAAGTAAAGTTTCTTGAAACAGAAGGATCATGATGCAAAGAGATGACTAGTGAGAGCCTGGAACTAAAAGGTTGGAAGTTTTTTGGCAAAGCCAAGAGCCGGAGGTAGGGGCTGATGGGGGAAGGAGTAAGGCCCCATTTTAGAGTGCCAGGGAGGGCAGGAAAATTCTTCCCGAGGCCTTATCTTAAGGGCTGGGGAGGGTGTGCAATAGACAGAGTAGTGTTGGGGGGTGTGAGTATATTGTGGAAATGATAATAGATGAATATATATTATCATGAGGGTCACATGGTGAGGTCATCATGAGTAGAGGTGAAAAGAATAGTAAGACTTACAATTTAATAAAGGGGAAAGGGAATGTATACTAACACAACCAAAGAGGCACGAACAAGCCAAGAGGAAACAAAAAAGCAAGAAATGCATTGAACTCAAGTTATAGAGAAAGAACAAAACAGGTATATCAGTTGTTGGGTTAAACGGGAATCAAGTGAATTCTTCAATTAGAAGACATAGACTGTCAGACTGGTCAAAAATCAAAACTGAGCTATATGTTGGTAACAGAAAGCACACTTAAAACAAAGAGATAACAGGAGAGAAAGGAGGGTAATTTAATCTCAAAGTGAAATGAAAAGCATCAGACTGGATTATGAGGGATCTTAAGTACATAAGTGGTAATATTTACAGAGAAGATAAGACAGTCATAAACCCAACAGCACTAACCAACATGGCAGCGAAATATGGAAAGCAAAATCGATTAGAAATCCAATGAAAGGGGAGCCTGGGAGGCTCTGTTGGTTGAGCATCCGACCTCAGCTCAGGTCATGATCTCACAGTCTGTGAGTTCAAGCCCCACTTTGGGCTCTGTGCTGACAGCTTGGAGCCTGGAGCCTGCTTCGGATTCTGTCTCCCCCTCTCTCTCTGCCCCTCCCTCACTCATGCTCTCTCTCTCTCTCTCAAGAATAAACATTTTAAAAAATTAAATAAAAAAATTTTTTTAAGAAATCCAATGAAAAACAAAAGACTCCGACTGGTCCAGCAGACAGAACAGAGCAAAAGCACAGAGGATTTTAAATAATACGACACAATTAATAGGCAATAACGAAATAAACCTATGAATGAATGAATTTGCAAATAGTGTCCCCAAGCAGGAATGAAAAAGTAAATGGTTCATACATGAATGAAGAAAGGCATGACTTGGTGAATGAGCGTGAGAATAAGCAAAGTCATGAGTGAATGAATCAAGGAATGAATATCTGATGACACAAATAAACATAGAAACAGATGGGGAGAGTAAACAAAGAAAATAAATATTTACAGAGAGGAAGGAAAGAAGGAAGCGGGTAAAGTGGGGGCAGCCTCTGTGCGTAGCCAGCTCACGAGAGCACAGACCCGAGGAAGGCTGCGGTCGCCATGCCCCGGCCCCAGCTCACCCGGCCAAAAAACTGCAGGAAGGTGTTGGAAAGCAGCAGGTGCTTCTCGGCCAGGAATCGATAGCGCCGCTTCTCTTCCAGCTCAGCCGCCCGCTGGCTCTCGGACACGAAGGCTTGCATCTGTGCGTGCAGCCGGTTCACGCTCTCCTGGGGAAGAAGCGGGTTCTAGCTGGGGGCAGCAAGTGCGTGTGTCATCCCGCCTTCCACATGTGCCAGCGGTCTGAAGCCCCCCTGTCCTTCCCGAACCATCTCCTCCTGGAGGTCCTCCCCTGAGCACCCAGCCCATCCTAGCCCCTAGGCCCACCTCTAATGGGCATCCTGACCCTCATGGGCTCTGGGTCCGCCCGGCCTGGCATCTTCCCCCAGCCCCAGGCACGGGGCCAAGCACAGAGCGGGGCCCCGGGAGGCTAGTTTAAGAAAATGTGAAGGAGTTGATTAATAAGCCCCTCCTTGGGAGGGAAGATTCGGCAGAGGAGGGGTAAGTAAGAGCTTATTAAAGGAGCCAGAAGAAGGGGGCGCCTGGGTGGCTCAGTTGGTTGAGCGTCCGACTCTTGATTTCCCCTCGGGTCATGATCCCAGGGTCATGGGATCAAGCCCTGAGTCGGACTTCATGCTGACTTTGTGGAGCCTGCTTATGATTTTCTCTCTCCCTCTCTCTCTGCCCCCTCCCCTGCTTGCTCTGTATCTCTCTCGAAAAATAAATAAACATTTTTTTTAAATGATAAAGGAGACAGAAGAGGAGATGGGAAAGGAGATAGAGGTCTGGTTTTGGAGGCAGAGGCCAGGATAGGGCCCCCTGAGCTGGGGAGGAGGGCTGGCCCTAGCCAGGGGCAGGGAGCACTAAGGAGGAGGGCTAGCCCTAGCCAGGGGGCAGGGAGCACTGGGGAGGAGGGCTGGCCCTAGCCGGGGGGCAGGGAGCACTGGGGAGGAGGGCTGGCCCTAGCCGGGGGGCAGGGAGCACNGGCTGGCCCTAGCCAGGGGCAGGGAGCACTAAGGAGGAGGGCTAGCCCTAGCCGGGGGGCAGGGAGCACTGGGGAGGAGGGCTGGCCCTAGCCGGGGGGCAGGGAGCACTGGGGAGGAGGGCTGGCCCTAGCCGGGGGGCAGGGAGCACTAAGGAGGAGGGCTGGCCCTAGCCGGGGGGTAGGGAGCACTAAGGAGGAGGGCTGGCCCTAGCCAGGGGGCAGGGAGCACTACGGAGGAGGGCTGGCCCTAGCCAGAGGCAGGGAGCACTAGGGAGGAGGGCTGGCCCTAGCCAGGGGGCAGGGAGCACTGGGGAGGAGGGCTGGCCCTAGCCGGGGGGCAGGGAGCACTAAGGAGGAGGGCTGGCCCTAGCCGGGGGGCAGGGAGCACTAGGGAGGAGGGCTGGCCCTAGCCGGGGGGGGGGGCAGGGAGCACTAGGGAGGAGGGCTGGCCCTAGCTGGGGGCAGGGAGCACTGCTGGGTGCAGGAGGGAGCGGAGGATGGCAGGCCTGCTCAGGAATTACACTGTGCTACCATGATCAAGGAGCAGCATGGTTGATGGCCTTCTGTGACGTGGCGTGGAAGGGGGGTGGCCTGGGGAGCCTGGGGAGGGCCAGGAAGTGACAGCACGGGGAGTGCTGCTGAGGGTGGCCCCCGAGGGCCGGTGGCGCCCACCTGCCAGGGGCTGGCTGAGCCCTCCAGCTTTGCTCACCGCAGAGGGGGCGGCAAGTGGGCCTCGTAGAGCTGGGCCGGCACTGGGCGGGGGAGCTGGGGGAGGGGCGGTGTCAGGGCGTCCCCCCCAGAGCCTGGCTTTGCCCCCAGCCCTTCCTCACACCTTCATCTCCCGCGCATTCTTGTCCCTCTTGCGCTCCATGCGCCACAGCTCAGACATGCTCTTCTCCAGGCTGGCGGCTCGGTGGCGGTATTCCATCTCATAGTTCTGGCGGCTGTCCTTGGGTGGGGCGGAGAGAGGAGGGGGACCCTCATGTCAAAGAGCTTAAGACTCCCGGCCTATGGGTCAGAGCACTGGTGGGGCCGGGGTGGGGGTGGGGGTGGGGGCTCAGCTGGGAACACATACGGCCTAGGGCCAAATACCCAGCGCGGGCCTCAGCGTGCCCATCCATCAAATGGGGAGAGGCAGTCTTGCCTGCAATGGGCTGGGGGGCCAAGGTGGGTGGCCGGACTTACTTTGATGAATTGCATGTCCAGCTTGGTGTTCTTCTCCATGTGCTGCAGCAGATCTCCGTGGAATGTCTGCACCTGTGTGGAGTACGGGGTGGGGGTGGGCAGGGTGCCCCCCATCATTCCTGGACCCCAGCACCCCTTGCATTGCCCCGTCTGATACAGCCCGCTGCATTCCTAACACACAGGCACCTGCCCAATCATCAGAGAAATGGTCATAATAAGAACACCTGGAGGGAGGGAGGTAGAAATGGTCACATATGCAAAACGTCTAGCGCAGTAGCTGGGCCACAGCACACTGTCGATAAACGTAGCAATGTCGTCTGGCTCTTAGACTCAGTCTGTGCTTTTATTATGCCATATCCTCTGCCTGGAATTTCCTATCCCACTTGAAATACCAGCTTCCCTGCCTCCTCTTCCAGGATGCCCTCCTGACTTCCCCAGCGGAATCCACTGCTCTCCCACTCTCTTTCTGGAATGTGTATCCATTTGTTCATTTGCTTTTCATTCTCAGAGCCATAGGACAGATTTCTTCCTGGGCCCCTGGTCAGGGCTCCTTTCTAGGAGCAGTGAGCTGCTGTGGGCATGAACCTCGTCTGAGCCATCTCTGTGTCCCCAGCACCGTGGCCAGGGCCTGGCCCAGGGAAAGTGCTCACGGCTGCTGAGGTCTTAGCTGAGGGGTGGCCGGTTTGCATGACAGGTGAGACGGAGGCAGCTGACTGCCTGGGCTCAGGCTCAGAAAACCTGCATTCTAGGGACGCCTGGGGGCTCAGACGGTTAAGCGTCCATCTTTGGCTCAGGTCATGATCTTGCAGTTCATGAGTTCGAGTCCCGCATCGGGCTTTGTGCTTGTTGCTCTTGGAGGTTGAACCTTATGAACCTGAAGAGCTTTGATTCTATGAGCCTTGGTGGTCACCTGGCACTTTCCCCTGGGTCCCCCATCAGTGTTCCTGGGTCGCTCCGTGCTGCAGGGACATCGGATCTCAACCCTTCAGGTGCACCCTTTGCCCTTGGGTTCACATGGAGCAGAGGAGTGTCCCTGACCCTGAAGCCACTCCCACCTCCGGGGAGCTCCGCTCAGCCCTGTCTGCACACCCTTTCCCCTCAGCAGCACCTGCTCAAGAACCTTCGTGCCACAGGGGTCCCCACACTGTGCTGTGGGAGCTCTGTCCCTTGGGGTAGGGCATTGCCCAGAAAAAGAATGCTGGTAATTTTCTAGTATGCAGGGAAAAGCAGCCAATTAAAAAAGCTGCAGATTTTAGGGGCATCTGGGTGGCTCAGTCGCTTCAATGTCTGACTCTTGATTTAGGCTCAGGTCAGGATTTCGCGGTCCGTGAGTTCAAGCCCTGCATTGGGCTCTATGCCAACAGTGTGGAGCCTGCTTGGGATTTTCTCATTCCCTCTCTCTCTGTCCCTTCTCTACTCTCGTTCTCTCTCTCTCAAAATAAACAAATAAACTTTAATACTTTTTTCCTCCCATAATTGTTTCTGAAACCCTGATAACTTGAGTGTGGTCCCCTCAGGACTGGCCACGCCTTGAACCCTGAGTTGTGGCTGCTGGTGAGTGGGGCGGGGGGAGGGGGTCAGTGTTAATGAGTGGTGCCAAGTCCACGTCTGCCCTTATCTGCTGGATCCAGGAAGTAAGGAAGTGAGTCTTCTCAACGTGCACCTGCACACCTCCCAGCAGAGCCCTCGGGGCCCCTCCCCTGCCCCTCCCTCCCCTGCCCCTGCTTCCCACTGACAAGATGGTCCACGATTTCTGCCTGAACTCCAAATGCGTATTCCTGAAAATCTGCATATCCTGAAAAATCGCCCAAAATAGGGGCGCCTGGGTGGCTTAGTCGGTTAAGCGTCCGACTTTTGTTTAGGTCATGATCTCGCGGTTCGTGGGTTCGTGCCCCACATCGGGCTCTGTGCTGACTGCCAGCTCGGAGCCTGGAGCCTGTTTCAGTCTGTGACTCCCTCTCTCTCTGACCCTCCCCTGCTCATGCTGTCTCTCTCTCTCTCCTAGAAATAAATAAAAATATTAACAAAAAAATTGCCCAAAATAAGCAACGGGGCTGGTGGGAGATAAGGGGTTGGAGCAGACCTTCAAAAAGCCTGGCAACTTCGTAACCAGAGCGCTAATAAAGATGATGAGTTGAGCGATACCTGGAGACAAACTTGAACTACGCCAAAGGCCACAGAAAATATCCGAAATGCACAAAACCAACAGAATGGACATGCCGGCTCCCCCTGAATTATCTCAGCGCTGGCAAGCTGAGCCGTGCAGGGCGGCGGGGGGGGGGGGTTGGGGGGGTGTTGGGGGTGGTGGGAAGTAGGCAAGGGAGGCGGTGCAGCCAGCCCCCAGCTGAGGGCCCTGGGAAGCTGGGAGCGCTCTCCCCAGGTAGGCCTGGTGCAGGAGCTGTTTTAAAATGTTCTTAAAATGGAGATTAAAGGGCTCCTGCTGTCAATGCAGGAGACAAGTTGGGGGCCTTTCCCCACTCTCACCTGGGAGATGCTATGAATAAGCTACCTTCCATGTGACCAGATGTCGCTCCTTCTGCTTCCAGTCATGTATGAACTGAGTCACACCATGGATATATGGGTAAGAACAGGAGGCTGGATTGCAGTTCTTCCCCTTGGCACAGTTTGGCCATGATCGCCAAAGGGGCAGAGGACACAGACCAAGGATGTCCCATTAAGAGGGGACCCAAGCACCACTGGCTTAATGGAAAGTCTTTGTCAGGCTCCAGAGGAAATGAATCTATTAAGTGGTTGATAAATGATGTGAACTTTGAGCTCTTGTTATGGGGAAACCATAGGACGATTAGCAGGTGGCTTCTGAAACAAGGAAGTCATCAACACCAGGCAGGTCAGATTGCCAGCAGGTCAGAACAGTTACTGCCCTTCTCTGAGTTCCCTCTCCCATCATATCCTTCATTAGCGGGTCCTGTGAGCACCTCAGTACAGAGGCTGAGAGCAGACTCACTCTAGAAAACACACACTGTAAGCTCTACGTATTGAGTTATTTCGGTAACTTACAAAAAATCCTTTGCCGTCTATACAGGAACCCCCTACCTCAGAAGAATTGTCCCTGGGGGCTGACCCTACTCCTCTCCTCTCGTTTGCTCGGGAAGCCCCTCCAGTTAGTCTGTGTCCCCACCCCCTCATGCCAACAAGAATGTTCTTGTTGAAATCACTGGCACTCTACATTGCAAAGCCAGCTGTCAGGACTCATCTGAGTGGTCCTGTGGTCATCATTCGGCACAGCTGACCATTGCCTCCTCCTGAAACACCTTCCTCCCTTGGCTTCCAGCCCCTCCCTTGGCCTTCCTCCCGCTCCCTAACCTCCACTCCCACTCCCCACCCTCACTGCCTCTTGTCTGATTCCCCCTCATCTCCTGATCTCCCAAGGTCTCTTCCTTTCCCTTCCTACACCCACTCGCTCTAGGAGCTCATCTGTCCATATGCTCAGGACTCCCAGACAAACAACCCAGCCTAGACCTTGACCCCAAACTCATACATACAACTGATGCCTGCATCTCCGTTTGGTTTTCTAAGAAGCATCTCAAACTTATGGTATCTAACACCGAGTCCCTGACCTCTCCCCTCCACCCAAACTGCTCCACACTCAATATTTCCCACATCAGCTGATGGCGACTCCGCTTTTCTAGTTGATCAGGACAAAACCTTGAAGTTACTTTGACTTTCCCTTTTCTTTTGCAACTGACATCCACCCCATCAGAAAATCTTATTAGCTCTACATTCAATCTGATTTCTTCTCAACACTACCAGTGCTGCTACTGTCCCAAGCTATTTCAATCCTCCTCTAGATTATTGCAACAGTCTCCAAACTGGTCTTCCTGCTTTTGCCCCCCACTGCTGATATTTTATTCTTAGTACAGGACCCAGAGTGATCCTACTAAAATATAAGTCAAACAACGAACAACTGAAGAATGAAATTTAAAAATTCCAATTCTAGGGGTGGCTGGGTGGCTCAGTTGGTTAAGGGTCTGACTCTTTATTTCAGCTCAGGTCATGATCTCAAGATTCATGAGGTTGAGCCCCACATCAGGCTCTGTGCTGACAGTGAGGAGCCTGCTTGGGATTCTCTCTCGCTTCCTCTCTTTTCTGCCTGCTCCCACTGATGTGTGTGCATGTGCATGCTCTTGCCCTCTCATAATAAATAAACAGTAAAAATTCCAATTATAACGGCTAAAAAATAAAATACCTAGGAACAAGTCTATCAAAAGATGTGTGAGACTGTTACCCTGAAAACAAGAGGGTGTTGCTATGGGAAATGAATAAACGGAGAGGTATACCATGTTCATGGATCAGAAGTCTCAATATTGTTAAGATAACCATTAACTTATAGATTGATGCAATCCCTTTCAAAATTCCAGCAGGCTTTCTTGAATTGACAAGCTGATTCTAAATATGTAAATGCAAATATTCTTGAATGTGCACGATAATTTTGAAAAAGAAGAACAAAACTCTTAGATTACTTGATTTTAAGACTTATTATAGGGGTGCCTGGGTGGCTCAGTCGGTTAAGTGTCTGACTTCGGCTCAGGTCATGATCTTGTGGTTCGTGGGTTCAAGCCCCTCATCAGGTTCTGTGTTGGCAGCTCGGAGACTGGAGCCTGTTTCAGATTCTATGTCTCCCTCTCTCTCTGTCCCTCCCCTGCTCGTGCTCTGTCTCAAAAATAAAAAATAAACTATAAAAAAAGACTCATTATAAAGCAACAACAATTAATACAGTGTGGTATTGGTGTAAGGATAGACAAATATATCAATGAAACAGAAGAGAGAGCTCAGAAATAGACCCATACATACACAACAAATCAAATTTTGACCAAGACACCAAATCAGTTCAATGGAAAAGCAAAGTCATTTTGAAACAGTGCTGGAGCAATTGAATGTCTATACAGGGGGGAAAAAAGAATCCTGTGTATGTCACTTCATACACAAAAGCAATTTTAAGATGGATCATAGAAATAAATGTAAAGCCCACACATACAGCTTCTACGAGAATACTTAGAATATCTTTGCCACAGGGGTAGGCAAAGATTTCTTGAGTAAGATACAAGCACAAA